ATTATCCTCTTAAGTTTTTAGCCCTCTTCCTTTAAAAACCTTAAGCTCTTCTTTTCTTTTTAAACGAGACTATATAATAAACTTTATAAAGAACTTCTAAGTAAAGGTATAAAAGGCATTTAATACTACTTATACTACTAAGGAAGCTAGCTTATATAACTATCTTACTAGCTTACCGATTTAACTTTATAGCTTACTCTCTCTTAAATAGTATAAAGAGGACTTCTTTCTTTTATTAAAAGTTATATAGCTTTATATATATAATCCCTTATAATAAATATTTTTCTTTAACCTTTATTAAATACTATTAACCTTTTACTACTCTTTTCATTTAATTTTAAAGATTCTTTTAGTATTACAAAAAAAAATTTAAGCGATATATATAACCGAGCTTTATAAAGTAATTCGATAAGAAGATTCTATAGGAACTTAGTAAGTCTTAGAATAAGAAGAGTAGCTTTAATAAGCTCCCTACCCCTTTTAAAGATATAGATTATATAGTATATAAGCTTTTTAATAAGATAGGAAGTATAAGAAGAATATCTTTAATAGTAAGATTAAAGTCTAGATTAACTTCTAACTTTATAATTCCTTAACTCTTATATATATAAACTAGCGAAAGAGAAGAAAGTAAAATAAGGTAAAGGAAGAGGAGGAATCTCCTTTATTCTTAGGTTCTTCTTTTCCTTCGCTTTATATAAACTAGCTAAATATATAAGACGAGGTAAAGAAGGAGGAACGTATTTTTTTAGCTTTTTATATAAGTAATAGTTCTCTTTTATATTTCTTTTAAGTAAGTTTAAGCCTCTCTCCTTAAGATAAAACTAATAACTAAAAGGATACCGCTTAAGGTTATATAACGACCTTATTACTAAACTAAGTAGTATCGCTATAAGCCCTTAAAAGCGGCCTATCGTACTATATATACTATATTTAAGAAAGATAACTAATTTAAATAAAAAAGTAAAGTATATATAAAGACTAGATATTTTTAACGTCTTCTTATATAAAGTCTTAAATTTAAGCTTAGAGAGCTTATAATAGAGGGTCCCCTTAAAGGTCTAGGTTAGCGATAGGCTTATAATTTCGCTAAAGAAGTATATACTAAGAGAATTAGTATATATTTATATAAGATAAATAGTTTTCCTTATAAACTACTATACCCCTATATATAAGATAGTAGTAAGTAATAAGATCGGAAGTTAGCTACTTTACTAATACTCTTAGATTTACTATTAAAGTCTAATATATAAAGGTAAGAAAGGCCGTCGATAGTTATCGATTCTATCTTTATAAAAAAGGGAAAGCTCTCTTATATACTAAGCTATTATTTCTTCTAAAAGAAAGGAATCGATATTATAGTCTTTAAGCGGTTTAATTATTATATAAAGCGCTACTTAGTTATCGTCCTCTTTATCTTAGCTTAAAGGGATGCCTTAATTATATATATCTTACTTATAATAAAGGTCTATTAGGATCTTAGAAAGAATATATTAGCGATTTCTTTATATATAGATCTTATACTTATTTTAAAGGGATATAAAATTAGTAAATTTATCTTATAGAATCGTACTATAAATTATATATAATTTAATTTAATTAGTAAGGGAATCTTTAATAAAGAGAGTATATTCTATAAGCTTATTAAAGAAAGACTAATAGAATAAGTTAGTTAGTATAGATATATTTTATATAAAAGGGGAAAAGGTTATACTATCTATTAATTAGTTACCCTTTTCCTTAACTAAGACTACTAGCTTTTAATATATATATTCCTTATACTTAGGCTATATATATAATAAGAGTTAATTCGTTCCCTTTATTAGTATTAGTACTAATTCCCTACCTCGTCCTTATATAAGATTTTAGCTAGGTTAGCTTAAGTAAGTATTACTTAGGCTATTACTTAGAGAGACGTCTTAACGCTATAATCTAAGTAAGTAAAGAATAGCTATATCCTAAGCCGCTATATTATATATAAATACTACTTAAGAGTACTTAAAGATATAGTTATAGATCGGCTAATATAAAACTAAATAATATACTATAAGTATATATTAATATAAGTATATATCTAAAACCTAAATTTCTTTAGTTTCTTATACCTATTAAGGTATTAAAGGAAATTTAGTCCTAGGACTAAGAAGTCTATATAATACTTAAAGTTCCCTTCTTAATATCGTTAAACTTCCTTAAAAAGAATTAACTAATAGAAATTATAAAGGCGATTTTATAAGACTAAGATATTTCCCTTTTATTATATATAGTAATAAAGGTAGCCTCTCTTAAAGCCTTAAATTATAGAAGACTCTTCTAGGTCTTTTTCGAGGAATATAATTATAACTTAAAGGGCAGCCTCTCTTTCTTTACTTATATAGAAACGTCTTTTTATCTTATTCTCTTAATAGATATATTAAATTATAAAAGGAGATACTTAACGCCTATCTTAATACTAGATATCTTAAAGGATAAAAGCGTTATTAAATCTATAAGTATAAAAGTAAAAGCGTATATATTAAATAAGCTCGTCTAATACTTAAGTATACTACTACTAGGTAAGGCCCTATAATATAAGAGATATCTTAAGGGTTTATAGGCTAATACTCTAACTCCCTTATATAGAAAGTATTTAATTAACTTAATAAAGAATCTCTTAGTTTAGCGCCTTAGTAGTATAAATTTCGGTAATATCCTTATATAACGACTTAAGATTAACCTACTACGATAGTCCTTAAGTAGAAAGCTAGCGCTAAAGAGTCTATAGGCTAATAGATTAATGCCTTTAGGCGATAAGGCGCTTATTTATACGCTAGAGGATAATCTAGTTAGAATATCCTTAATAAAAAGAAGAAAGAACTACGTCTCGTATATACTCGAGGTCGTTTATTAGTCGTATTATAAAGAGTAGAGACTAAGTATATAATCTAAATTAAAGAAATTTTTATAAATAAAGTAGTATAGTAATTTAGTAGGTTTAGGTTTTAGCACACTTTACGGACCTTAGCTAATGTGCCACCGTATCAGGCCCAAATTTAGTCTGCTTGGTCTGCCAGGAACGCTCCGGTCACCGCTTGCACCCCTACCATCTGTGCTCGATTCAACCAGTAACCCACCCTCCCTTTTTTTTTTTTTTTATATCATTACTCGCATGCAGCCTCTCTACCCACCCTCCCTTACTCCGCACACATGAGCCCAGACGGTGGAGGCATAGTCACTTGCTTCTATAATGGGAGGATAGCGCAACGCTAATGCAGGTCGAGGGAATTCTGTCCGGCAATTAGTCAGAATCGAAATATGTATCAACTTTCACGACTGAAGCCACCTACGGTGCGTGGCAAGAGGCAGGGCCCGCAGCAGGGTGACGTGCGCAGAAGGGGGCAGCAGCGCCGGCTGAGGAACGGCCTCGCCAGGCTATAGCCTTTGTCGCAATGACGCTGCACCAGGCAAAAGTGGAATGCACACTCCAACAGGCGCGCTGATACGTTGGCTGATATGTCGTCCGTATCGCTGTGTCGGTTGCAAGTTGCAACAGCCTTGCTCACCGTTTGCCAAGCCGGGGGGCCCCCATTGGCCACCGATTTGCAAGTCCATGTAACCGGGCTCTGTTAACCGGGCCCGGTCTATCTAGGTTCTTTTTGGCAGAAAGAATAGCAATCCCTTAAGCCTCACGGATTCCATCACTTTAGAGCCTTACCCCGAGTCAGTGGTGCCGAAGCTTTGCTGCGGAGTGCCCGACTGCAGTACACGGTGGGATATAATATAGATGGGCTGACGCGGCAGCATAAAGAAGCCGAACATAAGGTCTACAGCATAGGGGACCAGAATCGTGGCGTATACATCAAGGAGTTATGTCCAACCCGTGACCTTCCTATTGGGGATCATGCGGGCCAGTCTGCATGATTCAACCGACGTTTCTCCTGAGTCACTTATATATAAGTCTATTCCTGCTCTAACTTGGTAGTCAACTCCAAAGACATTGGAGGAGGAGGGATGACCGGCGCATGGATGCGGGAGCCGCCGGTGTTCTGGCCAAGGATGCATCCGATGAAAGGCAGCCTTCCATTCGTGTCTCCGTTCGGTTTCGGCACAAAGAGCAATGGAGCTCCTGTAGCTGAGCTAGTCGCTCGGATAAATCCTCCGTCCAGAAGGTCCTTGACGGTCTTTCACGCCGTGTTGCTAATAATATAAGGTCATTAGCACTCCATGTTCCCTCTACTGCGTCAAATGGATTTAATTGACTTACCACTGCCATCGCAGAACTACATTCGCGACGGATACTACAATGTCGAGCGCCGAGACCTCGTCCCAGAGCCCGGAAAGCTGTTGACACATGCAGGTAAGTGCTCCACCGGTTAGTCCCATCATGCATGTCCCCTTTTAATCTTCATGGTAGACCATTGATATGCCTTTCTCCGCCAAAATCTCATGTTCTGGTGTGATATCACGATTGCACCCATCAGATGGTCGCCAATTTTGACAAGATCCATGCATGGGCCAAGAAGAAGGAAAATCGGATGCAGAATGAACATGGGACGATGCAATCAGTTAGCCATACACGTCCCTAATGTACAAGTTGAGAGTTGTGGCATCACCGTGCGTGTCCGATGCAAACAGCGTATATTTATGTAAATGCATATATAGAAGCTGGTCAGATCTCTTTTATGGGTTGGATTATAGTATCCTAAAGCTGGAGGGAAAAAGGAAAAGGAGAAATGGGGGGAAGTATGGCGAGCCCCTAAGCAGAGCTCTAGAGCTGTCGAGGGCGGAGCCGAGACCTCTGCGGGCCTAGCCCGTTACAGGTACGCATAGACAACATGGCCCTGTACAATTCAGTTAATTCTCCGTCTGTATCTACTCTAAGTGATAGCTTGCGAGTATCTTCACAGTTGGCTGTAATTAGTGAAGTCATTCTCAGGTATAAGTAGCACGCCTGCCCGCCGCAAGGACGCTGCTGGCGTGTCTTCATCTCTCGGGCCAAGACAAGATCTAAGTTCTTCAACATGGTCTTTGCGCGTCCTTGCGGCATGGCCGTTTCAGTGGCACTACTGTGGTTCCTCTTGCTGGGCTGGGGTTATGCTAGAGCTCTCATACCTCTGGGTATGCCGGAAAGTCTCGATCTGCCAAAGAGTCAGTTCTTCCGAGAAGACGAAGTCAACCTCGTCCGGCGCGCACAGGACGGCGATGGGAACAATACAGATATAAAGCACATGTTTGTCTGGCGTGGAGACGACAGGGACCCCGAGACAATCCAGCGCCTTGGCGGCTTCAGTCCGGTAGGCGACTACGCCGACAACGAGGAAGCATTCAACATCAGGCGTCACACCCTGGGTGCCATAAGGTGGATGGAGGATAATGTTGATGACTCGGACTCAGACAGCGGCGATTCGGACTCAGAGAGCGGCGATTCGGACTCGGACTCGAAGTTTGCTCATGTGACGAACGAGGACTATCGGAAGGCGTTCAAATGCGGCTGGTCATCTGCATACGTGCCGACAGCGGCTACGTCCGCGACAGTCTGGAAGTACAGCTGGATCTACTTGATTCGTGCGACGCCAAACATAGTTGAAGAATCTTCCGTGTTCGGCGAAGGGCGCGACACCGAGGCAGAATTCTCGGCTCTGGGGGGTGTTCTTTGGTCGCAAGTCGTGGGGCACATGACGGTCGACACGTTGGATTCGCTTAGACAACAATACCCAGATCTTATCATCCCGGACGACGTGGCTGTTCAAAATATCGTTCAAAACCGCCAATACGATGAGGAACGGTTTCGCAACTCCTTCGCCGCTCCGCCCTCGGTGGCAGTGGGTGCAACCCCGGAGGGCCGGCCGTATTTCAACTCCAGACAGGGCGCGATACACTACATGGGACTTCCTGGCGTGGGCGATGTTGTCGGCTGGACGGGTCACTTTCCCTTGCTCCCAGTCGACCCATCCCCGCCGCAAGCCGAAACATGCCCGGCCAATGACAGTATCCCCGGCCCCTCAACGTCCGTCGGCCAGGGAGGTCAGGCATATTCCGAGGATGATATCATCGTTGCTGCCGAGTTCCTGCAAGAGAACAACGCTCCATGCGCCCTTTCGAGTCTCGACCCAAGAACCCAGTTCCTGATTCTGGAGGCAGATGCCGCCATCGCGAGAGCCTTGGCCAGGCTAGACCAGGTTCGCCCCAACGAGACGCATGGAACAATCGATGAGGCAAACGAGGCCATCCAGGCCATTGTTGCTAGAATGAGGCAGAGCGAAGAACAAGGCACGTGCAATCTCGTTGCCAAATGCAGCTCGATGAAACAGTCGCCCAAACGCAAGAGGGCAATAGGTGAGTCCCCCCGAGCAAGCACGAAGCCGCGCTCATACCGTTGCGGGTTCTAACCCTATTTCATCTAGACGGTGCCCGATTGGCAGTTTTCTGTGAGAAGTCGCACATTCCGAAGAATATCACTCTTCACTGCGATACCGCGAAGGGCTTCAACTGCAAGGGCAAAAAGCCTCAGAAGGCTCGAAAGCCCCAGGGACCGGTTGACAAGGTGTTTTACGGGAGCTTCCTGTGGCCCGAGGAGGCTAAGAAACAGGGCGGCTTCCTCCCGCCGAGCGCGACTCCCCCCGGCCCGACGTACGACGTGGTCGGGGCTCCCGAGGAGCCAGAGGTCGTCTATGAAGACTTTGCGGCCTACCTCTTGCCGACCTTCCAGAGCCTCGGCGCCGCGGCGAGGCACGCGTCGCAGCTCGCGTCCAAGGAGACGGGCGACTTTGAGGGCGTCGTGTACGCCGTGCACGCCACGCCAAACATGGTGAGCACGGGCAAGGAGTCGGCCGCCGTGGGAGGCATCCTGTGGTCACAGGTCATGGGCTGGATGCAGGTGCCTCGCGGCTACGAGGTCCCCGACAAGAACCAGACCCCCAAGCAGCGCGCCCAGATGCAGGAGCACTTCCGAAAGGCCTTTGCCGAAAAGGTGGACCTCTTCACGCCTAACAAGAACTACGACGACAAGTTTAACCAGTTTAACGCCACGACGCAGGTGCCGGACAAGATGGACACCCCGCAGGACCTGATTGGCTTCATGAACAAGAACGGCCAGGCCGTCGGCTGGAACGGCGGGTTCCCCCTGATCGGGACGGACCAGGTCGTCAAGGGCAGTGACTCCAAGACGGCCAAGACCAACAAGGCCGTCGCGGCGCCCCACGAGCCGGGCTTCTTTGAGCAGATTGGCAACTTTGTCAAGGCCCACCCCATCGCCATCGCCTTGCTGCCCGTCGTCGCCATCGCCAACCTGTTCCCGGGCCTGGGCCAGGTCGCCGACGCGGCCGAGGTCGCGGCCCTGACTGCTGAAGGGGCTGAGGCGATCGAGCTGACCGAGGTTGGGGGCTCGACGCTGGCCAACACGGGCAAGGGCATTGCTCAGATCTTGCAGAATGCGGCCAAGTTAAAGGTGGAGTGAGCTCTTGCAAGTATATATTTTAGAGTGTCCGAGTTAGCCATCTTAGAACATTTATATCGTGGATAGGAATCGAGCCATAACAACATGAAAAATCAAGAGCCTCAACAGGTCAACCCGACAGTGAGTACTGTATTGTGGCCAAAGCAACTGTAGTTTAAGTCTTGGAGGTTCGCATTCGGGCTCGGCGAGCTTCATGGAAACACGGATCAAGTCATCCTGCGATGGCAGGCCATGCAGCGAAACGTGTCAAAAAGTAATAAGAAGTGTGTGTGTGAAGAAGGGATGGGAGAAAGAGCAGACAAAATCCGGCCGTAGAATTCGGTTTTGACTCACTAACTCGGCCAATTTTTTTGCTTGCGTTGATTCGTCGTTTCACCCCTCACACTGCTGAATTCAGCCTATAGGCTCTCCGACGCTTTCAGTCTTTAACGCTATAGCCTCGTGTAGCACGACCCGTTTCCTTTGCTGTTTCCTTGTTATCCTCCTCGCCTTCGGCCAAGTGTTGAATGCCTAGACCAACCTCCGCCCGAAACAAAACCCGCCTCTAGATCTCAGCCAAATTAAACCTCTCAATAACGATAGGCAAGAAAAATATAGACACAGAGTCCGGCTTGACTATAAGGGAGCAAGAGTCACTGAAGTAACTGATAAAGACCAGCCCAAGACACCCGGGACATGGAACAATAAAGACGACAGCTTTTTCTTCTAGTCTTATCTCAAGATCAACAACGGCAGAAACCTTTCTAACGCAGAGCTAAGACAGATAGGGAAATAGGCGTTCGAGGAGATGGAGGAGCAATAACTACGTCGGCAAGGATGGTAAGCCATCAGTCATAACTGTCCTAGCTTTAAGCGATGAAATAAGCCTAGCCTCTTCTGAAAAAGGCCCCGAATTCATCCCAAAAGTTGCTAAAGTTAACCAAGACGTTTGGGCTTATAGGCAAAGCGACCATATTGTAGCGGTCAGCCTAGACAAAGGCAGCACGCCGGACCCAAACAGGAAGCCAGATAACGAACCTCTACCACATAACAATCAGGCAAGGTGTGGTGAGGTCATGGCACGGCATATATACTATACAAGTCGCCCCAATGCCAAACCCTTAGATAAGAATGCTAGAATGTTGTCTTTCAACCGCTCTAAAGGCGAATTAGCGTTATATACCCCCCGCGGGATCCCTAAACAAGACGATAAACCCGAGGCGGGTACAACCGCAGTACTTCGGTGGAACGAATGTTAACAAATAGGCAGCGATAGGGATGCAATTTGCTCGTGCAGCGACTAACTGTAGTAGGGTCTAATGACTCTGATCAAGGTCTTCTTTCTCCCGATTACTTCATTGAGGCCGCAAGCCGGGGAGAGATCATTGTCAGTGGAATACGCCTCCGCTCAGAGTTCATACGTGAATAGGGTAACTGTTGAGGAGAGTGGGCATAAGAGGCCACAGTCATGCCCAGTTGACCCAATAGTCATGCACAAGGGAGCCTGCCTGACCAACATGACTCCCCTAGCCCAAGGACACGATGCAGGCCTGACTCAGGTATAGGAACATCTCAATGCCCTCTTTTGGCTAGCTATGTGTGGTCACTGTACCTATATAAGCCCCTCCCTTGTCCCAATAGACAGACCAAGGCATGCATCACTAAATTCACCTTTCTGTGCCCCTATTTCTTCCACTGTGCTCTCAAGCCTCTGCTTGAGAGATAGTGAGAAGGGGTGGTTAGATAGTTAAGGCCTGAAGTTACTATTTTAGTAAATCTTAGTTGTGCTAGTAGCTATACAATTTTAAAGTTAAGATAATGCACACGCGACACGGAAGTCGTAATGAGAGAATATTGCCAACGTAAATCAGAACACAGTCATTTGGTCAGGTGCACCAGGTTATCACTTCTGGTATTCTAGTTGGCACCCGCCTGACCGAGCTAGTATTTATATCTCAACCTCCGTCTAATAATCCTCGCTCTTATTAGGGGTATATCTAGATATATTAAGTAATTATATTTTAGCTTATAAGTATATTATATATTCTTTTTATAAGTAAATCTCTCCTTTAGACACTATTAGCGGCTCTTATATTAACTATATCTCGTTGTACGTCTATGTATGTCCGGGGCTGCGGGCATTTATTAGGAGTCTTACTATTTGCACGGACATATTTCTCTATTTATATAGAATTTCTTAAAATCCTCTCTTTTAATTAGTGGCTTAATCCGCTTAGTAGTTAGTACTCCACCTCGTGTATTTTTTAAGTCCCTCAAAAGTCGCGATCTTGCACGTCGCACTCACCTCGCGCGGGGGATAAACCCCCATAGTAGGGCCCCTCCCTAAGGGGGACCCCTCCCCTACTGGCTCGGGTGCTCGGGTGCACTTGTTCGTAATCGAGGCCTTCTTAGTAGGTACCTAGGTAAGGCAGCTAGGGGAAGTATAGGCAGTACCTTAAAGTGACTTTAAGGTACTTTAAGTTTAGGTGCTCTATATAACTCTATGTAAATAGAGAATTTTGTCTGTGCAAATAGTAAGACTCTTTATTAGACGGTACCGCTACTTGCCAGGCTTGCGCACTACAAGCGGGCGGGGCGGGCTCTAGCGTGGGAGTGTACCTTTGCCAAGGGGCGCGAGTGCAAATAGAGCTCTGTGCGAGTGCAGAGAGTACTATTGCTCGAAAATTAAAAGCATCTCCCGCAGACTTCAAGGCCATTGATGCATGTAAACTGGCCTCGACGCAGGCTGCGGTGCTCAAGTTATGCAAGTCGGGTACGAGTCATGATTAAGCTGCACGCTTGTGAGGCCAATGATCCGAGACTCGAGGGTGTAAGCCTCGAGAGCGCCGAGGACTGTATCATGATATTGAGCCCACAGACAGTTTTAGTTGTCCGTAGAGAGGTGCTAATCGCACAAACCCCCTACTTTTTGAACCTTAGGCGCAACTTAGTCCACGATATGTTGAATTTTATTCCGACAGAGTTCTTACTGATCCGCCACAGGATTGACTGATCTTGAAGCGAGCTTGCCTAGCTATAAAATCAGCATCCCTCTCCAATCCCTCGACGTCCTCCTCTTCCTTCTGCCACATCAAGCAGCAGCCCATGTACATACATGCCCTCTCAGCACAATCACAACTACTACGACTTGCTGTGAACTCCCGGCACCTTCAACATGGATCCCTTCGAATCCCTCTCTTGCGAGCTTCGTCTTCTGGTCCTGGAATCTGCGAGCACGCGCGACGACATGGTCCGGCTTAGCCACGCCTCTCCTGCACTCCTCCAAGCTCGACTGGCCTTTAGGGCCACTCTCGATACTTACTTCCGGAAAAAGGAGCTATCTGCAATTTTCCCGCGAGACCTTTTACAGGACGCCATGGCAATTGTCCTCTTCCCCAAGAAGGATATTCTCGACGAGAAGCGCTCCAAGGCACGCGTCGAAAAGCACATGGAGACGTGGGCTACCAAAGAGTTCCCTGACCCGAGCGACGAGTATAGCCGACTTCAGCGCCTCTACAAGCAGCTAAAGAGGTATATCGACGACTATATATCTAAGGCAACGAGTTCTCAACTTGGTTTCGCATATACGCATCTCCCAAAGTTTTCTAATCCAGCGCTAGCCGAAGGCGCCGTACTACGTCCACTACCCGATAGCCAATTGGAGTTTGACCATCTATCCGCGACGGAAAAGTATCGCTTGCTTAAGACGTTTTTACGATTCGAACTCTACTCGAAGCTATTCTCGGCGGGTATTTTCAAGTTGGCAGAATCCGGAGACCAAGCGCAGTATACCGCATCCTCCTGGTCCTGGGGCTATCTCAACAAGATGGAGAATACCAGTCTGGCGGCCTACGAGAGAGAGGGCTTCTGCTGCGTCGCCGAGTATATTCATTGTCTTTACGCCGTGCTCAGGGCTTATGCTCAAGGCTATCTCGACTACCCTGACGCATATCCAAAACTCAGTGGCGCTTCTTTCGATAACCACTCGACATTCTGGGGGAATTCTATCGTTCCGGGGATCCACAACGACCATTTTTCGACGCGGCGCTTCCTCGGGGATCGCATCTACCTTGGCACTCTCCTTGGCGGATTTGACTGCCTCGATCGGCTCCTCGGCGCTGAAAAAATCGAGGCGATTTCATTTTTTCTATAGTTGGGTTTCAGCTCAAGGGCATTTTGGCCAGCTCGACATGGAGCTATATAAATACCGGGCAGACCATGGCATTCCAGATGAGCCCGGCGTCTGGGCTTGGCTAAACACGGAGGACCCTTGGTGCCATGCCGAGCTCGGAGACCGTCTTCCAGACCAGGTCGCTACACTAGAGAAACTTATTGGTCCTGTCTATCGACAGAGAGCATGGGCCTTTTTCGATGACAAGCGCCGGTATCCGGACCAGTGCGAGTTCCCGACTGTTGTCAAGCTGTCCAAGGCCCACAGTGACCGGGCATATCGGAGAGACCAAGGGAGACGTTTGGGAGGGGGGATGACCGCTCCTTTCATTTTTGGAAAGATTGCTGCTGGAAATTGTCCCGAGAGCATCTCTGAGACGGTATAAAGAGGGATCAAGGGGGCCATATAAAGTCTCAGTGCATCGCCACAAGCCTGTCTTTAGCATACAAGAACCATATTATTAATTGACCTCTCCGACGCTCACTCAACCATCTACCTGGATACAAGTAGCTTAGCGAGCCTCTTGCTCTGGCGTAACAGCTTGACAGAAGCCCGTAACGTCCCATCGCCTTATATTGTAGGCCGTGTTTGGATCCCATGTAACTACATGCTGGTGTGTGCCAAGCAGTGCGAGGACTCGGATGCATTGAGTCCACCAGTCTCGCACCAGCAGTTCGCCTCGAGTCAGTTCCAGGCATGGCAGGCGGTCAATGAAAGAGGATGAGAGCCTCCACGTGGAAATACCCCCTCTCTCCACATGCCTCGGCGTCGAAAACCGCAAAGGGAACACTCTGCAGTGTCGCGAGGTCACATGTGGAAAGACTCGTCATGGCTTTGCCTGTCGCGTGTTGTCCTGTTGTCCATGTCGCTGCTTGCCGTGAGAGGTTTCTTTTCCTCTGCTTCCGCTGCTGTGACCAACGGGGAAGAATGATGGCCACCATTGGCAAGACGATTCGCTCCGTCTTATTGGGAGTGTTCTCGGGGTCCTTCTTCTCCTTGAACCGGGCATCTCGCCGCCTAAGAGCAAGGTGACTAGTTAGGCCTTGGACGCACTGGTTTGGCGTTTTGTTGGAGATGTATTGACGCGATGCTGGCCGCAATTCCGGCAGCGAGCTCCAGGTCGGCTGTTACCGGATGCCAGTTCATGGCTGGACAGCCACTCGACCTTGTCGAAGGGGGCCATAGCAGTCGTCCTGTCCGCAGCCAACGATGCGGAAGAGCAGGGCGGCGATGCCACCTGCGATGCCGAGCAGCGTGAACATGGCCGGGCTGATAGAGGGAGCACTAGGCTTGGAGAGAGGGACGAGACCCAGTCGCCACCACCTGCCTCTCTCGTCAACTGTGGAAGAGCAGCGTGGTAGCTTTCCGACATTGTGTCGCGCCGAGGGTCGCCGCGAGAAAGGGAGAAGGGGGCGGGTTCGTCCCGCGCCTTTGCTGGCAGGCAGGCGGCGGCCGAGGGCGCCAACCAGCAATTTCCTGGAGGGACGATGGCCGTGCGACCTGAGAGGTCTCTGAGTGGACCGCCGATGCCTGCCGATGCGGATTCGGTTAGTTACAAATCTTCAAACCAGCCTCAATGTGCAGGCACAGGCACGCATTTTGTTTCCGCGGAGTGGGCAGGGCGTTGGGGTTGGGTTGCCTCGCGGTGGATGTGAGTAAGTAAATTTATGAGTAAGTTACCCTCTGAGCCGCCCGGCGGCAATGCGAGGTGTACCACTGCTCTGCGGAGGAGTCGACAGCATCAGCCGATATCTTCGATGAGTCTCGGGACCTCATCAAGTGTTGGACCCTGGTTGGGGCTCCGGCCCGCCCCGGTATGGCGAGCTAGGCCGAGCGTGGTCAGCAGCCTCTTGGTAAAGTCCAGCTCCGAGTCACTCGCTGCCGAGCTGTCCTGGCTTTGCTCAGCTTGGAGCTGTTACGAATCTCATACGACCAGCCGCCGCCGCTCGGGCTGACCAGGCGACCCTGCGCAGCGCATTGCCATGCACCTCGTTGGAGTTCGCTTACTCGTGGGCATCACGACTTCTCTGTGGGATGAGATTGCAGGCTTGCCTGCTCTTCGTTGGTCGCGGCGGGCCTGAAGAGTCTGGAAGAAGCAGTGGAGGTCCCTATTGAATGCGGCGCGAGCCAGTTCATGGCCTTCTGGATGGCCTCTCTTGCCAGATATTCGTGGCATCGACGGTCGCGAGGAGTCCATACGTCGTCTGCGATGGTGGACAGGGCCCGTTTCAGATCGGCGAACTGCTGCTGGATCTTGGGGTTGTTGCGCTCATATTTCGTACTCGGCGTTTTCCCGCTCTTCCCGCGAGCGCTTCCTCCGATGCATGGGCGCGTCGACGCACTCGCTGGCACCCGACGCCAGTCCCTGGCCAAATGCACGGCCTCTCTCGCCCTGTCCCCGTAGTATCGACGTCCGTCGAGCGGCCCAGAAGAAATAGGGGAAATCTCCGTTCAAGGCGGCACGAAAGAAGCCTGGCGGTGCTGCGGGAGGAGCCGTCAGGCGTCGGGCCTCAAGACCTCCTGCGGCGCCAAAGTCCAAAGGTAGGCAGTCGATCGGGGGTTCTATAAGTTTCCCTTCGCAGATTTTAATAGAGGTTTCTTTCCTCTGCTTCCGCCGCTGTGGCTAGAGCCAGGGAGATGCTGAGGGCGTTGACAACTGCCTGTCGGATGGCAAAGCGGACACGCTGCAGTGCTGCGAAGTCACATGTGGAAAGACTCGTCGAGGCTTTGCATCTCTCGCGTGTCGGCTTCTTCGCCATGTCGCTGCTTGCCATGGCGTCGCAGTGGCGGAAATCAGGTGGTCGAGTGCCGGTCGAGTGGTCTTGTTGCGGAATAGGGGCGCGGCGAGGTCTTGGCCGCGGGCCGCTGCACGAGAGATCGGCCGAGGTCAAGCTCGTCCTAGCCCGGGGCCAAGATCTCAGGGGCGCGGGAGATGAACCGTGGCGCTTTGCCGGCCGTTGTCGTAGTGCCTCGGGGCCAGGCCGATGAGGAGATGAGGGCGCTGCCGGGTTTGGCTCGGCGGGCCACGACTTTGGGCGGGGAGGCTTTCAGGGACATGCTCATGGCGTGGCTGTTAGGGGCGACCTTGGCACACCTATTCGAGCTCAATTCCCGGAGATGGCTTCGAACCGGTTCTTTTGCCCATGATGAACTGTCGAGAGCCGTCGCTCAAGTCGTTCGAGGGAGGTGGCTCGGGGAGTCAAAATGCCGTTCCGACGGTACATGTACTGTCGGCAACGTCCATGGCGGGCGACTTCGAGCCCCTGGAGAACGGCACCTTCTTCGCGACGTCCGGGGCGAGTCTTGGTGGGTTTCTCACGTCGAACCTGACCCGCTTGTTGTCGGACCCTCCGTCGCGATCGCAGTGGCGGGTGCTGGGGAAGTTCTCGCCAGCCCGCTTAGGCCTCGCAGCCGAGAAGCGCGATGCCATGCCTTTGTGCGTAAGGGGGGAGCCAAAGGTGCGGAGGCCGTGTCCAAGTCATGAGCCTCGACTCGATCTATTTCTTCGACGCTGATATCGTCAGGTGCATCATCGTCGCTGCTTCTCGAGTCGACGTCTTCCCATCTTGTCGTCGTCGAGGTCAGCCCTCAGCGCCGCCATTTCGGCCAAAGGTCTTCCCGGCACCAGCACGCCGCGGTACTCAACATCTCTCGTGTCGAGCCTTCTATCGCCAACGGTTCGCGCTCCCGAGTATCGCGTGGCCAAGCATCGGTCGCCTCAGCCTTCTTGCGGGCTCTGGTCAGCTACCGGCTCGGCAAATGGTGCATCCATCGGGTCCGGGGCCTGAAGGCGCCTTCTTGCGTGGTTGAGGATTCCTGGTTGCATTAATGGCCGTGACGCCAGCTTGGACGCAGGCAGTCATGGTGACCTGCGGATAAAGGCCAGACCTGCCTATGGGCTGCTCTCCCTCGACGCGGGCTCGACGTAGGCCTAGGCGGTTCCAATCTAGGCCCGCCGACACTGGCAAGGTGGTCGTGACTGACATCGATCGTCGTCTTTCTCCAGATGCATCGCGGTCGAGGTATGGAACCCCCCTCTCCGCTTATGCACCGGCGTCACGCACATCACGCAAAAGTCGTCGTCTGCGCCTAGTCGGCAGGACCGTCGGCAGCACCTTTCGCGTGTGGGGAGAAGTGATGCTGCAAAACTTGGACAAGGTTGTCCTCCTGGCAAAATCTGGGATACCAGGGGGCTGAAGATCGGGATCAGGGAGTCACGGTGGTTTTGAAATGACGTTGCCTATCGCTTGCACGGATTGAATGCGCATGAACCGGTTGCACATGGATTGAACTGCGATGATGTATTGGCAGTGAATTATGGCCGAGGCTTTGACATTTTTGCGTGTTGTTTTTGTGGTTCGGAGTTCGTCTTGGCTTCCTCGACTCGAGGAATCGATCGTCGACACTGCGTAGAAGTGCGAACTCATCGTCGACGTTGTTTTTGTACGGGGTTTCCGTCCCCGGCCTCTGGCCATTCGTGCAGGCGTGCTTGTCAAGGCGCATTTTTTATACAGGTTGGCTTCCTGTCTGCCGAAACGATGCCGTCCGGACAACGGCGCTGCTGGAGGGAGCCGTCAAGCGTCAGGCCTCAAGACCTCCTGCGGCGCCGATGTCCTCAAAGGTAGGCAATCGATCGAGGGTTCTGTACGTTTTCCTTCGCAGCTTTTTATAGAGGTTTCTTTTCCTCTGCTTCCGCCGCTATGACCGGCGGCGGAGGGGCGATGGCCCAATCATCTTTCCCTGGGGACGGGGAGCTTCTGGGCTTCTCGTCGCCTAAGAGCGAAATGTCTGGTTAGACCTTGGACGCGATTGTTCGGCGATTCATTGTAGAGTAGATATACTTAGGCGATGCCGGCCGCAATTCGGACGGCGAGCTTCAAGTCCGCCGCGGCCCGATGCCATTCCTTGGCCTGCTGCATGGCCCGTGTCGCCCGGTCTTCATGCCACCGACGGCTGCCGAGGTCATTGAAGAAATAGGGATAGTCCCTATTTAAGGCAGCGCGAAAATGGGTCATGCTAGAAGAAGTGATTAGTATAAGGTATATACTTGCAAAGGGCGCTGCTCTCCTCATACCTAACAGCCTGGTCCCTGGCCTCCAGCGCCCACCTAAGGAGGAGCTCCAACGTCTCCACATCGGGCTTCCGATGAGCCCATGCGCGGATTGGACGCGAGATCTACTCGTCAATCCGCCAAGTATGGACGATTGGCGTCCTTAGTTCAGGAATTGTACGGCAAAGCCGAAAAAAAGTTGCCAGCGACTACGTTCAGTCGCTTTGTCGGCTTGCCGTACAGCTCCTTTCGGGCCACGGCAACCTCCTTCTCCCATGGCGAGAGCTTTGCCTGCCACTCCGAGCGCTCCCGGTCGTATTGCTCCTTGCTGATGCCGAGCGCAAGCGTTGGCAGGCTTTCCGGGAGGCCTGCATGCAGCTCGTCGTCCCACTTAGGGGAGAGCGAGAAGGGGTCGGACTCGGCGGAGGAGGAGGAGGGATACACCAGGGAGTTTTCTCCGTCCACAGGCCCAGGCCGCCATCCTCGTTGGACAGTACGTAGCAGGCCGGGCACTCGGCGTGTCGGGGCGGCTCCTCAACCAGGGGAGGCAACGTGGGGAGCGGCTCCAGGGTCGGCGAGATCAACGGGGGCGCCGGGGAAGAGAAAGGGGTCACGTCGTCGGGGATGTCGGCCGACATTGTCAAAAAAAGGGAATATGGCTACCAAAAAAGACGCGCGGGCTGGGCAATCTCAACGTAAACGATGTCTTGACGCGCGTGTAGATGTTGTATATGAAAGCTACACGAGGACACCACCTAAGTCTTGTTGATCTACAACTACTACCTGCCTACCTACATGTAACGAAAGTATTACGTCTAGCCCGAGCGGTAGCCAGTACGGGCTGGCAGGGTAACCATACGATGGCCGCTCTCAGTTCTTGCCTCCTATAGGGATGTCAAGCCTAAGTCGGGCAGGCACCTCAAGCCGGCCAAGGACCTCGACACAGGCAGCAAGGCCAGGCCGCAAGGCTAGGTTGCCGGCTTCCTGCTTGCTCGATCCCCTCCTTGCCCGGCTCCCTGCCCAACTTCTTGCTCTTGCCCGGCTTGGTACTGTCTAGCCGGCCGGGAAGGGAACGTAGCAGGGAGGCGTGCAAGGAGAGAGTCGAAGCTCGAGTTAGCCTAGGGCTTGGAGTTAGTCGTAGGGATATCTTATAGAAATTGTTGGAAAAATTAAAGGAATAGGACTACTGAGTACTCTCTACTGTAAACGCCACACTCTCTCCACTTTCAGTCAGGGCCCGAACTTGTTTACATACAATGCTTGTCATTTACGATGCTCGACACCTTCACCTTGGCGAGAATGGCCCCGGGCAGCGTTTCGGCTTCATGAGCAGAGGCCACTCTGCTTGATGCCGGCAGCAGCCATGAGTGTTCCATCTAATGACCCAAAGAACGTCTGCTCGCCCTTTCGCGCGATCTCCACGTCGCACCGCCAAGATGCGTCTCGTCACCTAGGCCTTGACGACATCTGGCTGCACCCGCGGACCGATTGCAGGCACCGAGGTCCCGAGAGAGAAAGCTTCACTGAAACCACATTTGTACGCACGAGCATCACAGCCAGCAGGCTGCCAGCGACTCGAACAAAGATGACCTTCAGCTCCCATCACCGTTGCTCGGCTCCATCTGGCTGGCGAGCTTCAGTCAGTCGGCCGTCCCCTACTGAACATGTCGGGCACTCGAGATTGCAGCTGCGGAAACCACGGACCGAGCCCGGAGCTGCAACGCAGATGAAGCCCGAGTCTCAGACAATGTGGCAAAGGGAGCCGCGCCAGCATATGTCGACGCGAGTGTATGCGGACCGTGGCTGGGGGAGCATTACGGTGAGACGTCTTCGAGACGGAGCCTGCACCGCAAAACAGTGTCGATGAAGAAGTGGAATGTTTGGTCCCTTTCTTTGACCCATACGTTCGACTGCTTGCCTTTATTAAGCCCGCCGTGAGCAGCCTGTGAATCCTCCCAAGTGCCAGGGATATATGCCCATTTCCCACGCATGGCGTCTCCTTCTCAGCCGCCATCTACGCCACGCAAAGGGACACTGAGAGCGCAGGTGGGTGGTTATCCGAACCGAAACCACCTTTCCACGTACCCAGCATGCGTCCAAAAGGCCTCGCGCTCCTCGTCGGCCCGAAGATGCTCTTGCTGTTGGCACTCGTCCACCTGTCCTCAGCCGCCGCCGCCGCCTTCTCCAACCACCAACAGCACCACCACTCACCGTCGCAGCAACAAGCCGACAAGGCCCGGCGCCAGTGGAAGGCCCTCAACGTGCTCCTCACCGGCCTGCTGCGCGTGCCCGCCCTCGGCGCCCTGGCCAGGGACGTCTGCGGCGTCATCACCCTCGCCCAGGCGCTCGTCGGCGAGGCTGCCGGCGTGTCGAGCGTCCGCGACGATGCCGGCTGCGCAGACGTGACGGTGCTCTTTGCCCGTGGCACCTGCGACCCGGGCAACGTCGGCGTCACCAACGCGCCCACCTTTTTCGACTCGCTCGCCGCCCTGCTCCGTCGCGATGGGCGCTCGCTCGGCGTGCGCGGCTTCGCATATCCTGCCAGCGTGGAGGATTTCCTGGCCGGGACCAAGGCCCGAGGGCGCGAATTGTCGGTTCACCCCAGTTCTTGTCTCGGACTGGTCGCGCCGTCTGGAATGCGCTGCTGACCGGGGGCGGAAAGTATAAGCGGACAGTGCCTCGACGCTGCAAGCCACCGCGGCCGAGTGCCCCGACACCAGGCTCGTCCTAGGCGGCTACTCCCAAGGCGCCATGGTGATGCACGACGCCGCCGCCTTCGCGGGTCCGCAGGTCATGTCCAAGGCCCGCGCCATCGTCCTCTTTGGCGACCCGTATTCCAACCAGGCCGTCGCCAACGTCGACCCCTCGAGGGTCAAGGTCTTTTGTCACCAAGGCGACAATATCTGCGAGGAAGGCGGCGACCTGATCCTGCCGCCGCACCTGACGTATGCCAAGGATGCCGCCGCGGCGGCTGCTTTCGTCGTCTCGCGCCTATAGAGTCGTGACGGTCGGCTGCCGGGGAGACAACGTAAAATGGCCGTGTTGGAAAATGAATGTCGCCGAGTTCCTCTGCACGATGCCACGTGTGGCTCTCGCAATCCCACGGAGCCATGCCTCGTTGCCTTGATGTTGGCGGTTTCCAAGCCGTGAATCAAATCGAGAGGCTACTTGGAAGTGTCTTGAAGCGGGTAGGAGATCTCCAATGTGGCCGGGGCCGAAGCGGGGAGAGCAGGACTTGCCGCTTCGGCGCCGTATGCGCAGCGGTGGAATCTCGGACCTGGAATTCAGGCCAGGGTTTGCTCGGAGGAAGATGGCTCAGCCCAGAAGGACGTCCACCAGTCACCTGTCGACAGCCCAAATTATAAACCCGTGCGCGACAAATAGATTTTATGTAAAAACAGCTACGTAAAGATCATAGTCCTCCAAAGGCTCCAAGCGCTTGCCGAGACAGGCAAACCCGGGGAATCGGGGCTGCTCGCCACGGACACAAGACGCCGGAACCCCTCGTCCCAAACACACGCCGTCACCAAAGCTCCCCCATCTTAGTCCAAAAAAGGGTATCCCATATGTTGTCGTAGAAGAAGAATCTCGCGACCCAAGTGTCGTAGAATTGAAAGAGGAATGTTCAAGCCGAGTTCTGGTTCCCCGGCTCAGGCCTCAGGATAAATATCGCCAGGAGAGAAAGCATGTGGAACCAGTCGCGGTAGAGAAGAGTATACACGCGGAATAGGAGACTGCACGTCGAGCAGGGCCAAATATGACAGGGCGTGAGCAAAGAGGCCCCGGCAACAATATGGGCCCCCGCCGAGCAAGCACATAACGGGGGGCGGCGATTCGAAGAAGCGACCAAGCAGAAAGGAGTGGACATGCTCACCCGCCCGAGCAGACGGTCCTGCCTCTTTCCCGGGTTGAAGTGAAAGAGGTACGTCTGTGAGCTCAGGCGGATGAGCATCGGTTGAAGATGAACCGTCCAGTCCGTTGTCGTCGGAAATCGTCATGATCATCATGGAATAGTCATGGCAGGTAAAGTGTTTCTCGAGCAAAAAAAGGCAATGGACGATAAAGAAAAGGCCACGGTAGTGGGGTGTGATGGCGCCGGGGCGATGGTAACCGTCGGTGCAGTCGAGAAGGCAACTTGGGCGCTCGCTGCTCGTCAAATTGAACAGCATTAGAGCATGGCGACGGCCAACATGCCGGCAAGCCCAGCCAGGGCAACTCTGGTAGCGTCGAGCGAGCCCGCAGCGTTGACGGTAGGGCCGCGAGGCGACGAAGGAACGGCAGTCGAGGGAGCGGCAGCGCCGCTCGGTATGGGGGTCAAGTACGAAGTGGTGCCGACCGAGGTGCCGTTGACCCCTGCGGTGGCGGTGACGGTTGAAAGGCGCTGGAGGACGATGGTCTTGGTCATGGTGATGACCGAGGTCTGCGTCACAGTGGAGGAGGGCCCGGAGCTCGCGGGCGCCGACTCTTGGGCGAGGGCGAGGGCCGGCAGAGCGGCGAGAAGATACTTGAAGAGGTGCATGGTGTGCTTGCGCGGAGGGCGTCGACTTGAGTCGTCGCAAGCGATGTTGCGGGGAACGAGAAGTGAAGAGTATGTAGGTATGTATAGACGGATGTTTCTGGTACCGATTCTGTCGTCGAGTCTCTGTTGTTCGTCGTCTGTCTCTGTCCGTGTGGGAAAATGAGCGTCGTGGCAAGTGCAAGCAAATGCCGCGTGCGCGAGCGAGTCTGTGCCGCGCTTTTTATTGTCTGGAGCAAACAACGAGAGTGAACAAAGATGGACGTGAATTGAGTGAGGCCTGAAACGGAGAATGTGAGGGACTTTGCCAACGAAGTCCTGCTTGGTGCGGAAACCCAGGGGAATGAGGCGAAACGCCAGAGCGGTCGGATGGCAGGATGGGAGACTAAGGGGTCAAGGAGGGGAGGGGAGGGGATGGATGGGTCATTTAAGAGGCATTCGTGCAGCCTACAGAGTACTTGTTGGACTACCTACTAGTTAGTACCTTAGCCTGGTGAGTTGGCCCCCCCTTCTGCTCCCCCCCCTCGTTATTAGTTATTAGCCAGGCCCAGGCCACTCACGCTCTTCTGGGAGTGTTGGGCAGGTTGGCAATTGCATTGGCTCCTGTTGTGCAGGCGCCGTTGCCCGGCCTGGTGTTTGCCAGGCACACGAGGCACGAGGCACGAGGCACAAGGCACGAGGTAATAATCTTTCCCATCTCCGCAGGAGTGGCGTGACGTTGCTGTAGAGGCGCCTCGTTTTGCTTGTTTGCGTATCCTGTCTCCGTCCCCGCCAAAAGACGTTTACGCAGATCGACCCGAGTCGTGGATCCGATCGTCGATCGCCCAAGCTTATCCACCACGGCCTGCTGCGAACATTCCTCGGCCGCCCCTGACGCGCCATTGCCTTGCGGTGCCACGGAATTTGTGGGCTGTGCGCACATGATGGTGAATGCCCATTTTGGTCCTCTTGAATCCCGGCTCCCTGCGTGAGTGCGCAGGTGCTCGTGGCTCGGGGTGCTCCAGGAGTAATGACTGACTAACAAAGCGCTTCTGATGGACGACTCAGCGTCATCATCGGCCCCCCTTGCCCCACTCGCCTAATCTTGTCCCACCCATCTCAGCGCGGGTACGTACTGGCTGCCCCGTGATTGGTCCTCCGCCTCTCTCTCGGGCATTAGATGAGATTTGCTTCCAGCCCTTGCCGCCCCGTGATTGGATTGCTTCTCTCCAGAGCCCCACTCCTCTGGCTCTATACCTGCATTAGCGGCGTCGCATCATCCAACCTTGGCTTTGTGCCTGGCGCTTTGCTGCTTTGGGATGGCCCCCCCCGCTACTAGCACCCTACTACGCAAGCGCACTGGCTGTGTCATCAGGCTAAAATTGTTAGAACAGGGCCTCGTGGGTTGCTTCCTTTGTTTATCCAAGACATTGTTTTTCCCCCTCCTCCATCCCTCCACCCAATGTCTTCGGCATTCACCAGCCCTTGTCTTCGTCTTCCCTCTTCTCCTCCGCCCTGCCCAGCGCATGCGCCCGCGCTGGTCGAGACGGGCGGCTGAGATTGAATGGTTCCGCCCCTTCAGCCGCCGCCAGAATGCGCAGCCAATAGAGGGCGTCGTGAAGGTGACGTGTCATGACCATGGGCCATTCGACCCTGAATGTTTGCTCACGACACCGAGAAGCCTGCCTACCGCTCGTCACGTGCCGCGAGACAGCCTCGTGAATGATGAGCAGTCCTCCATGTCAGCTCTCTCCGCTCTGCAACGGCGCAATGCACGCCACAGAATGCCACTCGGTTGGTGCATGAAATCTGCACCTCGTAGCTGCTGGGCAACCACATCCATCATTCTTGCCGATTACCTACTCGAGTGTCACTCGCCTCCGCATCTGCACCCTTTTCGACGGGCAGGGGATGACGTATAGGAAGACATGCAGTCAGAGGGTGGTTATACCTTGCAAAGCGCACCTTGACAGATGGCCATGCTGGCATTGCCATGAGGCACGCGTATATACGAGGGTAAAGAGACCGGCATTGAAGTATGAACAGCCCAATCACGCGTATGCCTTTGCAGGGCCAGGGGGTTTCAGCAATATCCCAAGAGCTCATCTCGATCCTTTACTAGTCCAGCTCCTTGGAAATGGCAAGAGCATGACTATTTGCCCCAGACAAAACTCTACTGAGTCCACAGCACGTGCATCGTCCCATTTCCCTAAAGCTGCCTTGTATTCTTGGGTACTGGTAATTACCTGGTCAGAACTACGCTGGCTATTCGACTGCTAGATGAGCCGCCTGCACGGAGGACCTCGCTTTTCGCCAGCACTTCTCCGAACGAAGCTCGCGTCGACCGCCACGGCTTAGCCTAGGAGGATTCCGGCGCGCTATTCAGCTCTACAAGAATGAGGCCGTGCTACTCCGACATCTCATGTCCAACACCGCGGGGTTTACAGACTAGAAGCGTGATAACAACGGGGCATACCAACGAGGGCGTCGGCTTCTAACTGACGAAGTGTATGATTTGGACGCCGACCTGGTGAAAGACGGCGTCTACCATAGACACCCCGTCCTTTCCCCCTCCAAGCGCTAATGCGCAGGCGTGTAGATGGTCCCAATCTCTTTCAAGTGACCGCCCCTATGGGTCGACAAGACATAGAACGAAAGGATCAAACACTAGAACTTCAACTCGGCTTTAGACAGACTAGAGGGAGTGGCAATTCCAGATAAAGTTTGATAGGCTGACACCTATATTGTATTTACTCCAAGTTCTAACCTGCGAACTCTAAGTGGTGGCATGCGAGAGCCTTCCTTTAGGGTAGCAGAGTTGCCAAGCACAATATATGCCCAGCCATGCGCATCCCAAAATCTGGCGCCTCGACAGCCTTGAGACAGATGGCGACTAAAGAGAGAGTCATCGGCGTATGAATCCTTGTAGCCAGATTTAAGGAAGACAATATAATCTCGACGTCAGGAGGAGCATGCTATGACCGACGACCTGCGGAGTATCAGTCTCAGGAGGAGATATCGCCAACACCTATGCGACAGGGACAGCGCCGCCCCAGCTCCTCTTGGAAGGCGCGCGGTGGAAGTTCGGCATATCCCTGGCCTTGTGATTTTTTTGTGATCCTCCGCTCGCCAGGGACGCGCCGGCTTGAGTCACCAGTGCCCGAGACACCCTTGTCCGAGACCATCTTAGAGTCCGTCGACAAGAGGCCAGAACTCGAGAGTCTCGGCGCTGTCGCCACCGGCAGCAAGAGTACGAGAGTGGTACTATCTTGGAGCCGGATAAGATTGAGGGTCTCTTCAAGGAGATTATGCGCCGGACAGACGCCCACTGCACAGCCCCAAATCGGTCACGCCAGGAGCCGTTTGTCGGCTGGAGCAAGTTGACGAGGCTGCTAATAAGAGCCGGCCCGACTTTGCCTTCGGTCTGGGGCAATACCTTGCTGCCATGTGTTCTCAGCGTGGACAACACTGGCTCTCCCCGGCGGTATCAAACAAAAGGGAAGTTGATGGCTAAGACAGCTCCCCTGGCCGCCTTGGTGCCGTTAACGATCCTGAAAACGTCGGGCTAGCCCGTGTATCGCCTTGGCACGACGAAAAGTGGCTCCTGGGGTTCAAGACAGACCAGCAGCGGCTGGATGTGATGCTCAGCCGGCAGCGGAGCGGCTAGTCATTGTCGGAGACGTCAATTTCACGAGCACGGCGAGGGGTCAAAGGCCTAGGGGAAAGGGAAGGGTAACAACGCGGTCACGGTCCACGTACAGAATGCCGAGGTTGAATGGACGATGGCTCGCGTCACAGTGTTACACGATGGTGCCTGGAGACTCTTGGACGCCGGCCGGATGGTCCAAGCAGAGGGCAAGGCGCAGTAGACATTGATGAAACCATGCATCGTAATACTACCGCTCAACACCGTCACCGTCAGCCTCTTTGGCTAGGTCCCTACCAGTGGGCACACTAATCATAGAAACGAGCTTCAGTTGCAGCCGAATCGGGATGTAGTGGTCATTCCGCCTGACGCAAGATAAGCGACTATTCAATGCCACGTGAAAGAATGTCAATGGTTGGTAAGAGATTATTCGTGGTTATTGAAGGTATATGCCGATCACAAAAGCCATCATCGTCTCGATAGCGAACCTGTCGGAGGTATACGGGAAGGTTAGCAGTTGGACGTCCTACACAAATCAAGGGGGATAAGCTCTTGGACCAATACAGACGCAGGATGTAGGCGGCCATCATGGTTCCCGCGAGGCGTGTCAGCAAATGGACCCGAGAATGCCATGAGCACCCGAGGACAAGGTGGTGAATGATGTTGCGACCACGGCGAACGATGGCCACAGTGGCACAGACTACTTGTGTCTGGTCATATCGACATCCGCTGGGCCGAGGCGAAGTTGCAGTAGTCCATATTGGCATACGAGGGGCGGTATAGCGATTGGCTCATTGCGCGGCTCAAGGTATCAAGATGGGACAGTGGCTGCTTGGCGAGAAATGCATTACAGTGATGATCTTTGGATGTGTAATAGCCATACTCAACTTGAGCAATGCCATGAGTCGCGTCGAGCAACGGCCCAAGCGGTGCGGAGCGGCCGAGCTCCGAGGCGCGGCTTCCGTCGGGCCGCAGGACGTCATGCGGGGGGGGGGGGCGGGATGCGATGCCGAAGTCGGTCTTACGGAGTTACTTGGTATATATGCTGGAGAGTGAGGGAATGCTGAGGGTCCACCCGCCGTCATGCCAGATACCTGACTCGGCAATCAGTCCATCCCAGTCTGGCCCGAGGTGCGTGCGCAAGCCCGCGAGTTGAGCTTGGCTGACACGCTTTTCCCCCGTGGGTGAGCTCCGGAGCAGACATGGCGCCGGGGCGGAAGTCGGACTGGAGGAGGAGAAAGACGTGGGCGAGAAGGAAGACGAGACGAGACAAGACGCAAAGGGCCGACAGAGACATGGGGCCCCGCACAGGATATAACAGCCATCCCTGCGGTATATGGGGTATGTAAAAGCTGGAGATAACAAAAGGGACCTTGGCGGCACCGAGCAGCGCACGTGGAAAGGGTAGGGTGAAGCATGCAGTGCGCGAGTCTCGGGTTTCGAGGACACATGCACGGCCGGCGTCGGGATTTGATCGTGGCCGGCACGCACAGTAGGAGTTGGAGTTTATCAAGTTGAGTCGAGGAGCGAACAGACGGCGCGTCGGGACAATCGTCAGCAGCGCCTTACTGTAGGTACATATGTACAAAGTAGGTACCTGCCTATATACAAAGTGTGTACAAAGTACAGCACCTACCATAACTTGGCCCCATTGTTCGCTGATATCACTCGCGCGCAATCACAGTCCCTCTTCGTATCGGTTCGGAAAAGGCCGCACTGCGCCTCAGCGAACGGGTTCCTTGTCCGCCACCCAAGTCCGGGCTACTTGCTGCCTGGTGCGGCCTTTTATTGCTTGGCTTGGACGACATGCTTTGCACTTACAGGTGCATACCAGGTTGGGCCCGGCTTCCATTGGCAGAAATAGGTTGCATCAGCCCCAAAGCACCGGGAAAGCAACAATCACACAAAACCAGGGCATTGGTACCAACTCAAAAGTGGCTGGCTTATCGCGGCGCCTGTACGGGGTACCGCCGCGAGTGCGGGGGGCTGGTCTCGGCGGTACCGGAGGGAACATGGGAGCTTGAAACTGTACTCGGTAGTTACTCCATACTGGGGAATGGGGATGATGCCATGCCGATATAGGTAGCCCAAGTGCAGTTCGAGCCATCAAGCAAGCACCTCCCCATGTGTATGAGTATGATGTGCGTGCGTGCGTGCGTGTATGTGTGTGTACAGTATGTAAAAGCAGGGCAGCGTCGGCAAACATAAACAGCCAAACAAACCCACATGCTGCAGCGCCCCCTTTCGCCGCCGCCCCCCCTTCATGGGTGGCCACGCCTTGCGCCTTGTCGGCCTTTGGGCGGTCGCCCCCTCGTAGCAGCTCCATGTCTACAGCGGCTTGGTCTCACGCTGACGTGGGCCAAAGGACGGGAGCTTCGTCGCCATCGTCGGCGTCGGGCGACGGTGAGCGGTAGGACCGAAGCGGCGCTGGCGAAGTTGCTCAAGGAGCTCTGCATTGTTGGCCACGCCCTGCAAGTCGGGCATGACGACGGCGTCGAGTTGTTGATGTTCGAGCTGGAAGCCCAAGACGTACGGCCCCGCGAGAATGTTCAAGCCTGTCGCCATGGTCGACGCTGCGACGGTCTTTGCGCTTGTTGGATGGTAAGGGGAGATGGCCGCAGCAGTCGAGGGGTTGGAGAGGAGGATTGGGCCTGTTGCCGGCCTGTCTCGAAAGACCCTCTTCATCACCGTACAATACAGTACTATAAGTTAGTAGGCGGCAGCCCAAACTTCTGCGGCTCGCCTGAGATAAAAGGCGACCTGCAGCGAGCCAACCAATCAGACATCAAATGAGGCGGTAAAATAGATGACCGGCCCGGCGCGTGACGGGCTTGTCGGTCCGCATCACATGGCGGCACCTGTTGGCCGTCTGGCCGGCCTTCCGCTCTCTATATAGATAGTGTGGCGGCTCCTGTTACACGCGAAAAGAAGCCCTCATGACAATGAGCCTTTGTTGCGCAGCACGAAATCCGCCATGAGCCAGTCCGTCCGACCTGTCCGGACACCCAACACACTCTTTTACCTCGAGCCCGTCGGCGCCGATGCCACTGGGAAAGCCGCCTTTCATCACGAGATGCCGCCTTCATCTCCATGAGATCAAAGAACAAGCCGACTCTTGAGATCGGCTATCACGTATCCTCGTGGTTCCAGGCCCGATGGCAATGTTCGTCGACTGGTCCTGATTCCGGGGGCGGGGGATGCCACCTCTTCGTGGGCAGCTCTACGCGGCGCATGCAATTCACCGGTGCAATGGAGGCTCCTGCCAGCGGCCAAGCCGACAAACGGGGTTTCAAAGAATCCAGCACGGTCACGCGCGTCCGGCCTGTTTCTCGGAGCGGATTTCCGTTACGTACGTGTACCCAGGCCCGCCAGAAGTACACGCATGTACCCCCGTGCCCCGCAAGCAGGAGCCCCGAGTGCGGGGCGAGGTATCCGGTACCTCGGGCTCATGCAGATTAGCCTCGCGTCCCCGGGCCCCACTTTATGTTTTTGCCCCGTTCTAGAAGCCCGTGTTTCTGCAGTCGCTTAGATAGGTAGGACCCCTCCGCTTCCTTCCTTCTCTTCTCCCGTCATTCTCTTCTCCCGTCATTCTCCTCCTTCTCCCCCCTCTCGAGACGCCTTCTTCCTCACCCTCTTCCAACAGTCGCTCTCGCTCCTCGTCGCATTTGCTTGGCTCAACGACGACTATCGGCCATCAGCCACCGACCGACCAGCAGCCCTCGTCATCCGCCCCGAACCACCCCGGGCCCAATCCGTTTCCGGATCGCGACAACAACTGCCTCGTCCGCGCCCTCTCGCCACTCCGCGCGCCCATCACGAGCCCTGCGCCATTTCCATTGAATCCTGCTGCGGCGGTCCGCTTACCCCATCTCGCCGCCTGCCACGATGGAAAAGGAAGGCGCCCACGCGTCGCTCGACGGCGGCGGCGGGCCTGGCGCCTATGACCTCAACCCCGAAGCCAGCCGCCCCGCCGAGACGGCAGAGTACAACCTCGCCGCGAAGCACGACCAGCTCGAGCGCGGCCTCAAGAGCAGGCAAATCCAGTTCATAGCCCTCGGTGGCGCAATAGGCACCGGTTTGTTTGTTGGCTCGGGCAGCATCCTCGCGAGCACTGGCCCGGCGCCGCTGTTCATGGCCTACATCTCCATGATGCTCGTCGTGTGGAACGTCATGAACAACCTCGCCGAGATGACCACGTACCTGCCCATGCGCGGCATCACTGTCCCCTACTTTGTCGGCCGCTTCCTCGACCCCAGCCTCGCCTTTGCCGCGGGGTATAACTACTGGTATGCCTACTCCATGTTGATCGGCGCAGAGGCCACGGCCGCCGGCATCATCATCGACTACTGGAAGCCCCCCGTGTCAGTCGGCGTGTGGATCGCCATCGTCCTTGTCGTCATGCTTCTCCTCAACATTATCGCAGTCAGCTTCTTTGGCGAGGCCGAGTTCTGGTTCGCCAGCATCAAGCTCATCACCATCTGCGGCCTCATCATCCTAGGCTGGGTCATCTTCTTTGGTGGAGGACCCAACCAGACGGGCGTCCGCGGCTTCGCCTTCTGGAACGACCCGGGCGCCTTTGTCCCCTACAAGGTGCCCGGCTCCACCGGCCGCTTCCTCGGCTACTGGCACGCCTTTGTCACGGCCGGCTTCGCCTTCGTCACCTCACCCGAGCTCATCGCCATTGCCGCCGGCGAGACCGTCGCCCCGCGCCGCAACATCCCCAAGGCTGCCCGCCGCTTCGTCTGGCGCCTCGCCATCTTCTACGGCATCTCGTCGCTCATCATCGGCATCCTCGTCCGCTCCGACGACCCCAGACTCCTCGGCGCCACCAAGGACGGCAAATCGGACGCCAGCGCCTCACCCTTTGTCATTGGCATCCAAAACGCTGGCATCCCCGTCCTCGAGCACATCATCAACGCCGCAATCCTCACCTCGGCCTGGTCCGCCGGCAACTCGTTCCTCTACTCGGGCAGTCGCATCCTGTACTCCATGTCCCTCAGCGGCCAGGCGCCCAAGTGGTTCAGCGTCACCAACCGCAAAGGCGTCCCCTATCTCGCCGTGCTCTTCACCTGGAGCTTCGGCCTCTTGGCCTTTCTCAACGTCTCCAATTCGGGCGCCACCATCTTCACCTGGTTCGTCAACATTTCGACCATATCGGGATTCATTGCTTGGGTCGTCATCATGATCACCTACCTGCGCTTTCGGCGCGCCCTCGAGTACAACAACCTGTTCAACTCGCTGCCCTACCGCACGCCCCTGCAGCCCTATGCCACCTACGCCACCCTAGTCGTCGTTTCCCTCCTCATTATCACAAACGGCTTCCAGACCTTTATGCCCTTCAATGCCAGCGACTTTGTCGCCGCCTACGTCACGATTCCGGCCTTCCTCGTCTTGTACATTGGCCACAAACTCTACTTCCGAACACCCATGTACATCCCCACCTCGGAGATGGACGCCATCACCGGCAAGAGGGAAATGGACGAGCTCGAGGCCATGGACGAGGAGCGCGTGCCCAAGAATTGGTTGCAGAAAGTCTGGTTCTGGCTTGCCTAGCGGCGCTTGGGCGGGATGCTCCGAGTTTCATGTTTTATTTCGCGTGTCGCGTGTGCACGGCTGGTGTGCATGACCGACTACCCACTTGGATTGGTTAATAGCATGCATATATCTCTTGGTTACTTGGTCCCTGCTTTTAATGATGCTCTGGACCCGAGTTCGGCCTGTTGGGCCTTGTTGCGATAGTGGATGAGATGAGCCTCGAGCTGATGTTATGTTACCCTTGCATTCGTAGTCGAGAACCCCAGCGGTTCACTCCGCCTCCGACCCTCACTTCTCGTTGCTTTTTCCCGGAAAGCGGTCTGCGCCAGATCCGGAACCAGCAAAGGATGACCTTGTACCTTACAGACCCTAGGCCAGGCACAAGACCCTGGCCGGCTAATTATGCCCGAATCGGAAAAGGGGCTGCAAGTTCCCGACAGACTTCAACGTCTAGAGCAAGATTTATTGTCATCAGCACTTTTCGCAGGAGTAGCCCTATGAGGAAATCGCGACCGACATCGAAGGCCTTCCAACAAAGCGTGTTGGTGCCAAGCCAGAAGCGTAGACAAGTCGACACAATGGAGCGGCCCAACCACACTCTCGAAAGGGGGGAGTCGGTCGACCACCGCCCTTTCTCAATGGTCGGCAAAAGCAGAACAGCGCCAGATCAGGGTCTGGGGGGTTAGTGAACAGCGACGATGTAGGCGCCAGCCACTGGAGGATGAATGGGGGACCAGCATGCCGCCGTTGAGGCCTGCCTTTGAAGCGTGCCTGCGTCAGAGGTGAAAGAATTGACAACCGTCTAAAGAGAGGTGACGATGACGCACTCTCCCCCGCCTCCGCATCCTCCGCACTTTCTTTGCCTCTGGGTTCAGTCAGCACCATGTCCAAGGCGCCTCACGTATCTGGGTGGAAGGATTCCGTGCAAGCGTCGCCCTCTTCTTGACGGCAAGTTGCTTTACCGTGCCATCCCAGTCTATTGCCATGGTCGTGTCTTCAAGCGCAGGATAGTTGCTGCTCGGGGTCTTCTACTCGCCCATCCCCTTCGTCAACTGATTTACGCAGCGGGCGATGGCAGCTTCAATCCGTACATCGCCAGAAGAGCATCATCCCCAGACGCAGCAGGAAACAAAAGAATCAAACGGTCGGTACGCGGTAAGCGAGCGTAGAAGCCGCACGGATCACAGGCCGCAGCGATCAAGAGTCGAACTGCGTCTGAACCACCATGTCCGCGCCGAGCTGTTCAACATCGACGCGCGCGCCGATTGGCACAAAGCTCCGGTCGTTTTGGGAACAAAGAGCGTCCACCCCCCGCCAAGGCATGACCAACCACTGATATAAGGAAGGCCGAATCACGTAAACGATGGAAAACACCCTGAGGAGGATTCGTGAGCATAGCACGCAACAAGAACAGCAAAGCAAGCCAGAAGAAGCTTCCGTCGCCGCCTATCCGCACCCGCGCCCTCTGGAAGGGATATTTGCCGAAGCCAAAGCACGCCCTTGCCGCCCTGCCGCATCGCCTTGTGCTGCGGATCCGACAGCAGTCGTCAAGCATGTGTTCGTGTACAATTGTCAGCAGGGTCTGCCCGCGATGTGCAATCTCGTTTGAGGACATTCAACAACACTGTCCAGCGGCGCGAGCCAAGGGGAAGCTCTGCGCCAACCGTCACATGGCGGAAATACCCGGCCACTTGTGCACCCGCTGCCAGGAACGCGGCGGCGAGCAGGGGGCGCGACTCGGACGGAGAGTGGGACACGCCGCCAGGGCGAGCGTCTCGTCGTTCAAGAGTCATCTCCAACCGGGTGCAAGAGCAAGCGCATCTGACGGACAAAGGCACATGGCGGATGAGCTGATCACGGTCCGGTACGAGCACACACGGCCCGCAGACCCCTTTATCCGAGAGGTGCCGCGCCACGAGCGCGCGGAAAGGGCCAAGGTCAACCGGCAGACGCAGTGGCCATCGGTCCTGGCCGCGGCAGCCGTCCCGGCAGAGCCACAGAGGCCTCGGGTTCCGGCGCGTTCGCCGAAGAGGCAGTTGTGGCCATCGGAGGGCGGCGGCGACCAACGGCCCGGGATCGACACGTGGCCAGGCGGCGGGTCTGGACAAGTGTCGCCGCTGCCACCGGTCCTGCCAGATCTCGAGCTCCCGCCACGATGTCTGTCGCCACTCGGCTCTCCGTCAGGACTCTCGGACTCGGCATCGGTATATTCGCAGGAGTCGCTGCCACGATAGCGGTAGGGCCGGCTGAACACCGTTGGTCGGGCTCGACGGCCGCCCTGTCACGGGGTCCATCCGCACTCCATCGGAGCCCGACCGTCAGGTCGGCATCGACGTCGCAACCCGAGCAGCCCAAAGGCGAGGACAAGACACAAGGCTTGACAGTGGCTTGACATTGCATACGCAACGCAGTTTATGCTTCGTCTTGCTTTGAATCGTCGCGACGCCCTTCGGGAGCCAAGGTCACGCCACCAGAGGCGTTGCCGCGTAGGGCAGCTGGGGGATACCTGGTATCTGTCGAGGCCCACCCGCGTGGCGAGAATGGGGCGCTGACCTGGCCGAAGCTTGACCCCAGCCAGGCTAGCCGAGGAGCCATTGGCGCCAACCGACGCACGGCTGGCCCTCTGCGGTTGGGCGGGCTGATGTACATGAAAGAACAGACGACTGTATAAAAATTGAAAAATTGGAAAAGTGGGAAGAAAAGAGGAGATGGAAAAGGAGCTTTGTCTCCGGCTCCGGCTGTCGCCCTTTGGAGACGGCTAGAAGGTACCTGCACACGCTGAGAACGGCGGGCAAGTACTTGTCTCGTTGGCAGAGAGGACGGAGCATCTTCGGCCCGGGACCGCGCAACTGTCGCACCGTATAATTATACGAACCTCGGCCTTGGCCTTTTGTTTTCGCTGCTGCCTCTTCTTCTTCACCCCTTCAGAAACATGTAGTTATTTGATAGCGCTAGACTGTACATAAAGTCGCGGGCAGTGGAATGTACATACGATTGCTGGGTCTGGGCTTGGGCTGCAATGACAGCATGCTGCCTCCAATCTGTTGCTCCCGACCAATCTTGCAGAAAGTCTCCCAAGACAAACGAGGCTGTGAACCCGGGGGGAGGGGGGGGCAAAAGCCAAAAATACATCGCCCTGTGGCGCGGGGCTTTATCAATGGCAATCTTGCTTACCATGCAGGTGCGAGCGCTCCCGCATGTCATCTCCGGCTCGCCTCGGCCTATCAGGCTGTTGCGCCGCGATTGGCTTTCGTCATCGAGTGGCGACGGCCCTTCTGGAGTGGCGGTTTCGATGCGTGCAGCGTCGCGCGTGGCGACTTTGCCATGTGCCTGACGGGACAGGATAGGTGGCAAAGGCGGTGCCACGGTTGGCCCCTTGTGGCGTCGGGCACCAAGTTAGCTCGTGGGTGGAGAGACCCTGATCCAGGACTGCCGAGACCGCAGAAACAGCGCGTGCTTTTTCTGGATCCGCCTCCTGCCCGCGTCGCACCCATCCGGCCCCAGCGGTTCGGGACGCCACACTCGCATTCCTCAATTCCGCCTTGTCCGCCGTCGACGGCGGTGATTGGTGGGCTGGGCTCCGTGGGCTGGGCTCCGTGGGCACCCTGCCTGCCATGGAAATCATCCATCCATCATCGTCTTTTGCCTCGTCTGGTCCGAGGGGCGGGGGAGCCAAGCCAGCCGGGGTCGCGGCTGGGCGGGGAGCCGGGGAGCCGAGACGAGGCGTCGGGTTTTGATTCGATTCGCTTGGAGTCGCTTCGCACTCAACCACTCTTCAACGACGGCGGCTCGTAAACATTGCAAGCGAGAGATGCAGGCACGAAGCACGAGGACCATCTCGTCCGGGGTGGGGCCTCCGCCTTTGCCCGTCGAAGCTTTTTTCCCCGTCACCGTAAACGCCATCTGCCGCACTAGCCTATCACAACGGCCAGGGAGCATTTGCTCCGGCGCTCCTCGACTTGGCTTGGATGACACCTCTTGTCAGTCCAGCATCTTCTCAAGAAGCGGGTTCAATGTCTTTCAATTCCTTGTCCTTTCCCTGCTTCAACTGCCGCGCTGCCGAATCCATTGGCCGTCCTTCCATTCGCCTTTTCGCCTCCCACTCCCTCAGGCCGCTTAGACCGTGCTCTCGCTCCCTCCCTCTCTCCTTGCCTCTTCTCTCGCTCTTTCTCTCGCGCTCCCCCCCCCTTCTCTCTCTGCAAACCAGCACCACCGTTGGGCTTCCTGCGCCCAATCCAAGGACAACGGCCAGTCACTTCTCTCAGATGAGGTGGAGTGGATAAAGGTCGCCTTGTCCCCGGCTCCATGTTCCGCCACCAGCGTTAACCCTACCCTCTTCAGTCAGGTCCCTTTGCAACGACGGCCCTCCCCCGAGTACCGAGCGCCCGCCCGAAACCACTGCCACCGAAGAACCAAGAGCTGGCTCCGAGGCACGAGAATCCGAACTTCGTCCCTTCTTCCTTGATGCCCTGAGCAGAGCAGACGCGCCCTTCCTCCATGGTTCTTCATAGCCATCGGGCCGCCGGTCAAGGGAAGCTTGATCCACGATAAATGTGTACAGAGCACACGGCTACATGCCAAGTCTGCGGAAAGAAATACCTCATCTATGTTGCCTTTTGTCACGACTATCACCCGCCTCTGGTCGTCTGCCCGCACGGGATTGCCGCTGTTACCCTGGAAATGCATGACGGACGGTGCCCGAGTCCAGCCTGTCCCAACAGTCTGAGAGGCGGTTGTCACATCATGTGACCTTGTCCCCAGCAAGTCGCCTCGGAGTCCTCGCTCGAGACGCCAAGGGGCTGACGACAGCGGCTAGAAGCCTTGCAACGAATTCAAATCTTTCCACCAGTCGTCGTGACCTCGACGACCTGATCAATGCCCTCATATGGGGGAACCTCGAAATCATACTTCTTCGCAATGGATGGAGAGACAAACCTTTTCCCAGCCGTCAGTCGAAAGGCTCGATTCATCTCGACCAAGGGGCGCTCACCGTCCACCGACAAAATGCCGGCCTTTAAAATGCTTTACGAGTGGCTTTGGGGCCGTCAGGCTGACGAGGGCTGTTGGCATGAAGGCACTGCCAAGGCCGGAGCTGGGCGGGCCGTTCTCGATATCCCATGCAGAGGGGGCGTCCACTGAGGTCACCGGCACCTTGGTTTCTTCGAGCGCCCGGATGACAGCCGGGAATGGTTCCCGGACCTCGCCAGAAAAGCTGAATCCTGTGGCGGCCTGTCAGCGTGGTCTAGGGGCCCGTTGGCGGGGCACGCTGCCAACCAAAGATGGCATCCACCACGTGGTCTGTCGCCGCCACGGCCGTCTTGAAGTCGTCAACAAAAGGAATGTCGAGGTCCTCGAGTTGTTTCGCGAGTCTCTATACACGCTTAGCTTGGCTCCGCGAAGAAGCGAGTGGAGTGGGTAGGCACTAGGCAGGCTAAAGGAAGAGGGCGGATAATCCAAACCCAGCCCTGTATTCGAGCAGGCTTCACCTGATGCTGGCCGATTATGATTATGAACATACGCGTAACGGGAACATACACGTAACGGAACCAAATGGAATCTGAAGAATCGAGGCGCGAGAATCGCATCACACTTGGGCTAGAATTGGAGTGATGGATCCAAATCATACAATATTCGAAGTGACTCACTTGGTAGAGCTCATTCTTGCTCCGCTTGGGGTAGAAGATTGTGGGCTTGTAGCCGTAGCTGAACAGGTGGCGAGCGGCAACAAGGCCATCGCCGCCTCGAGTACAAAGTCAGTCTTGGGGGCAGATGAGGGTTGAAGCTACGCCGGCGACAACATGCCATTGTTTCCGGGGCCGCAAGCCACCAGGACCCGACGACCCCCGTTCAACGGATGGACGCGATAGACTGCGCGTCGCCGAAGCCCGTCAGCGATGGGACCACCCCAGACGCCGCGAGGAGCCGCTAGTTCTCCCTGCTTCTCACCTGCCTGAGAGACGGAGAGTCCGGCGAGTTCCATCAGCTGGTCGATGGAAAATGCACACGTGCTCATGAGCTCCTGGTCGAGAGCGGCGGCGGCCTTTGCACCAAGGGTCTGGTGAAATCAGCGACCTCGCACACGGTAGACGGGAAGTGCATGTCGACGTGTAACCGCCCGCCTTGACAGGACTGCGCGGAGTCGTGGTCGGGGCTTTGTGCGAGGGGCGTACCTTGATTGACATGGTGGAGTCTGATCAAGACACTTTGACCTTTCAAGCTTGGCTTCCGAGATTGGAGTTCGCGTACTGATGAAACTTTTGTCCTAAAGAGCCGTCAAGGCCAAGAGAAACAGTTTGGAAGTCGGCGGGAGAAGGGCTGTCAATATAGGTTGCACACGGCTCAAGACTGTTAGACTGACATCACGGGCAGCCCCGAGGGAGGTTGATCCGGCGCGGAGAAACCCAGCTCCGACAAAATTTCCGCCCGTGATTCCGAGGCCAATTGATAACGTCAACCAAGTCCATCCAGCAGACCAGAGCACCTCTCCCCAACCCGGAGCTCCTCCCTTCCCAACGCCATGGTCGTCAAAATCCGCCTCGCGCGCTTTGGGCGCCGAAACTCCCCCTTTTACAACATTGTCGTCGCGCAAGCTCGGTAGGGCCCTCGCCTCCAACAGCCGCCCTCCCCCGTTGGCGCAAGTGACGACGAGAAACCCATGCCCGCTAACCTCTCCTTGCACACCCGGCGCAGGACCGCACGCAACTCGCTCCCCCTCGAGGTCATTGGCACCTACGACCCCGTCCCACGGCCCGACCCTTACGACGCCTCGGGCAAGCTGCACAAAGACGTGAAGCTCGACACCAAGCGCGCGTGCTACTGGATTGGCGTCGGCGCCCAGCCCACCGATACTGTCTGGCGTCTGCTGTCCATGGTCGGAATCCTGCCCAAGAAGCAGTTCGGCCCCGTGGCCAACAAGGCGCCCGTCCAGGTGGACACGAGCCAGGTGCGCATCCGGTAATGAACCGCCAGTTGTGCGGCCAGAGACTGGTTTACACGGATGGAGGGTTGTTGAGGGTTTTGTACCATCATGTGCGAGCATTTCCACGGCGTTGGGGTTGGGGTTTCAGTGTCTTAGGCAGGACAGACTGGAGAGATTCTGATGAATCGTCTTGAAAACAAAGGACTTCTTTGTATACAACAAGTGCGAAGCGAAGCCCAAGTGAGCCATGGTTCGACGAGGTGCATGTCTTCCAACGCCTCCAAATGCCCATCTTACCGGTTCATCAGAGGCCAAGAGCGGCAACGAGCCTTGACAAGCCTTCTCGGACCAACGACCCCCTGAACGTGGATATCCAACACACCCATCAAAGATGCCAAGGCGCCGCTGAACAGAATGACATTTGCAGCCGTCCTTTCCAATCAAGGCCGGACAGTAAGTAACAAGTCGACAAAGGAAAAGTCGCTCGAGGCTGTAGCCAAAGCCGCTAAAGACCACGCCGCACGCTCGTTACTGCAACAGGGCGCCGTAAGGGCTCGCAGACCCATTCTAGTGAGCGACAGCAAAAAAAATGTTCATAAGCAGACATACTGTCATCACGACGATTCCGTAGGTCGCGAGCGCGAGCGCGAGCTTCCTCAATAGCTGGTGGTCGACATGTTCCAGGTCCCACCGCCATCTCCTGCGCCAGCGCCATTGGGTTCGCGGCCCGGCAGCGCCAGTCCCGCTGCGTATGCTCGAGGTGCTTTGTGCAAGGATCCCACCCGACTCTTCGTCGGAGGCTGCTTCGTCGTCAATGTCGTCGTCGCCTTTCATCAGTCGCTGGTGGTGGATGCTCTCCGGGTCGCTGATCTTGTAGTAGAAGAGCCCGGGTAATATGAAGCTGATGGAGGTCGAGCCCGTACTTCCGACAAATGCGAGAACGCGGTCAAGGCTGCTCACGGACAGCGCAGTAGTGTACGCCAGGGTCAGGATGACGGTTGTGAGAAGGGCAAATCGCGTATCAGACATGGGCGTGCTGCTGCCGTGGTCGCTCCGCGGCATGGCAGAGGGGTTCAATAGGGGTGAGCCGGGGCGGCCGCTGTTGGTGCTGGACCTGTTGGGCCGCCATTTGAGGACAGCATCGAGGGACGCGCGACAGGGATGGACCTGCAGCGGAATGGAAAACAAGACAAGGAGAACGATAGCAGCTTTGCCGATGGTGGACGCAACTCCAGTGGGATCTGCAAGACGTTAGAATTTGCGCCAACAAGCGAGTCTCTTGGTCGAGTGTCCTTCTTACACATGGAGACAATGTTTCCAACGATAGAGTTGCCAAAGGTAATGTAACCCGTAATCGCGACAAGAACGTAGATGCAGGCTGCGGAGCCAATGCTCGAGCCAACTACTCCGGCCATGTTCGCTGGAGAGTTGTCCTTGATTTCGTTGATGACGGAAAACATCTGAATGATGCATTAGCCAGCCGGTCCCTACCTAGCGGCGGCAGGATGGACCTACATTTTGGTGGCACGTATAGGCAAATACAACCACGGGCAGTGCGCTGAGGGTCTCGACTGGCCCGGCCCACTGCAGCACTCGGATATCCTGGGGGTCCGCATGGGGGTCCACCGCAAAGTGATAGATGACGAGAACAATGAGGTACCCAATGGAAACCAAGGCGACAAGGCTGGTGTACTTGAGCGAGTCCAGCCTCCGCAGAAAGCTCAGAGGTATGATGAGAAGCATAAAGGCCGTGATCCAAAAATGACGGTCGACCAGATAGGGAAGGTCAGCAACGTCGCGGTTGAAGCCGAGCATGACGCCCGGCATGAGATCGCCGATGATGATCATGTACGACACGCCCACGCCAAAGCACTTGACGGCAATGGCCAGGTCGAAGATGACCGAGGCATGCGGGTAGGTGATCTGGGAGAGGGCAAAGAAGGACGAGCTGCCGCGGTCGAGGTACCGAGCGCATCGGGACTGGAGGTAAAGGCCAAAGGCAGCTGTGACGCCGGACCATAGTATCAGGATGACGCCGAGCATAATTCCCATGTGGGAGAGGACCGAGGGCATGGCGAGGGTGCCGGCACCGACGACTGCACAGGCTTGGTCAGACGACAGTCAACGTCGGCGAGGGATATGCATACTGGTGTTGAGCAGATTGACTATGCTGCTCAAGGTCGAGGCCTGTCCGCCATGGCCGCCATCCTTGCCTCCTCGTCGGCGCGTTCTGCCGAGCAATGTCAGCCGCGGACGTGAGGGCGCGAGACGACGGGGCAACTCACCTCGACATGTCGCGGGCGCCTCCAGAAGAGGCGTTGTTACCATCCGCGATGGCCAGATAGGTTGTCATAGCCAAAAGCGCAAAAGTGCGCGCTCACGGCCGAGTGTCGGGTCGCGCGAGACGGGGGAGCAGCGGGTCGGGTGACCCAGGCCAGGCCCGGCCTCTACTCGGCGGTCCCCCACGGGGCTCTGGCGGCGCCGACTCGAGCAGATGCGGGCGTGCGGTTTGGGGAGTCCGCCGCGCAGTCGAAGACGGGGCCGACGGACGAGCCGGCAGCGCGACGGCGTGAGAAAGAGCGAGGCGTAGACGGCAAAGGCGCTGGTGAGGGAGAAAAAGAAAAGGCGCGCCGAGGGCGGGCGACAAGGACCTCTGAGGGAAAGGGAAAGGGAAAATGGGGGACAAAGAGATGTTGAAGAAGAGCAGGTGCCACAACAAAAGGTGGTCATTCGGCTGCGCATTGGTGGTGGCGCCTTGCCGGGTTCGGTAGCGGGGCAGCCGGGCCACCTGGAGAGGGTGCTGGGGGCCAATCACCACCGTCTGTCTATCGACGGCTCTATCGACGGTCTATCATCGACGACTGTCAAGTCGCTCCAGTGGCACCGGTTTCGGCCAACTTCAACTCCCAACGCACCTGCACGCACCGCCCATGGACAATCCTCTGGACCAGACGACCCTCTCCACCATATCCCTCCTCGAGTCGCGTCTCCTGCGCCTCGAACACGTCCTCTACGGACCGACAGCCTCGCACCCTCCGGCACAGCCTGAATCCGTCTCATGGAGAATGGGCCAGTTGGAGAAGCGCTTCTCCGTGATGCTTTCCCGCATCCGCGTATACGGCGATCTCCTCAAGATTTGTATGCGCCAGCTCCCCCCTACTCTCGGCCCGTTTGCTGACGACGCCGGTCCAGACAGGTCGCATCCAGACTTGTTCCACGCCCCGGCCTCGTCCGAGCCACCATCGCAGCTCTCGGCCGACGCCATACGCTCCATGGTTCTCGCGTCTGCCTCGTCCTATCCCGCCATTCTCTCCTCACTTACCGCCATCAAAGACAGCCCCATCCCCGACGTATCGGAGAGCACCGCCCTGATATCCATGACGGATCGCATGAAGGCTATTCAGGTCACCCAGGCCGCCCAGGCCGCCGACATGGCTGAGCTGCGCCGACGAAGCGAGGTCGTTGTACGGTCGTGGTACGAGAGCAACCTTCTTGCCGGCTCGCGGTCCATGGCCGACATGGAGAGCCGCGTAGAGGGGGTGGAGCGGCAGGTCAGGCGACGAGAGCGGGCCAAGGAGGAAGACAAAGAGATGTAAAGGCAGTCGGCCTCGGGACGGCTCACGCGGAACCAAGGACAAAGGACGACCCAAGAAAGGCCCCATGCGCTTCACGGCGGCCGTACTCCACTCTTGGGCCGCGGCTCATTCAACAGTGCGCATCGACTGATGAAGACGGACATTGCTGCATTTTCTATCAGTCCGCACTGGGTTCGCCCATCTCAACTCGCCCGACATCGTTAACAAGGACCAAGCTTCGAGCTGGGGCGAATCTTTTGCGGAATGGCAGCACTCCAACGGAACTTGTTTTGGGACATGTGTGCAGTTCACTACCGTCTTGTCGTTCGCCAGGCGGTACTAGAATCTTATACGGCCCTGCATGCGTCGACTTGGCTCAGGCGTATGGGGGACACGAAGTTCACATCCAGCACCGCATGGTGGCCCGGGTTCGCGTCTGCAGGATCGCGCGAGGCCGAGCCCGGGTTCGTCTCCGTCGCGGCGGTCCTCCGAAATTTGACCAGGAAGGCTCCAACACGCCCGCACCAGCGACCGCAATATCCACAGTCGAATAGGCCTTTGGCGCAGTTCCCCAGACCGAAAATAGCTGCGGCCACGACACCACATCTGGCTTTTGGAGGAGGGCTGCCGGCTTCCCGCCGGCGCTGGGGTGCGGATACTCTCTGAGTTGATGGCTGTGCAATGGAGCCGGTTACCAGGATTAGAGAGGGAAGAAAAACAGGGCATAGAAGACAGCAAGAGTATGATTAGTTGAAATCTCTACTACACGCGACGCTCATCAGCTGCCGGCGCCGCCAAAATTGGGTCAAAGCCAGAGTGCTACTCCAAGTCCAACTGAACAAGCTCTTTTGTGAAATCTGGCCAATACGTAGTGTCCCGCTCCATATCGCTCATGGCCGCTGCTACGATGCCGACTGCGAGGGGCATTCTGGATAAATATGAGAGGACCACGAACAGCACAGCACGTCTTGGCGCCCCAGATACCGTATGCAAGTGGCGAGAAGCCGGACAGGTCGGTACAGTACTGTAGTAACGAGGCTCGATTGGTTGCCGAGGCTGTCCCTGTCAAAGCTGCGCATGACTCAAGCGAACCAGCGGAGAGCAATGGTTTGCTCACCATGGCCAAGTTCCTCGGTGACGTTCACGATCAGCTCGATGCCCTTGCGGCAAAGGTTTCACCCCCCCACGACGAAACAAAGGACACCGTTTGAGCCCGCCGTGTTGTGCGGAGAGTTCGTGACAAACGGGGAAGCACAAGGAGACGATCTCAAGAACCGACGGCCAAGCTGAGCGCCGGCCTTTGTGGCAAACCCGCCTTCGGTTCCCGTCGGGGTCGAGGGTTTCAAAGGGACGGCGGCTCAGGTGGACAATACACGATCGCCAGTTGGCGGTGACGGGATGCGAAACGCAGGGACAGGCTTGGCGGGCGACGTGGGAACAGGCGATGCGGTTGGCGGTGGTGGATGCGTCTGTCTCTCTGGGGTCATTGGACTTTGTCGGCATCGGATAGCTGCAAGGGCCGCCGGAGACGGAGCCTTGGCTGTTGCAGCTGTTGGCCGCCATTGCTCGTTGTGCTCCGGCAATTGGCATCCTAGCTTCCGACATGCAAACCAGTGGCGCGTGTCTTTGAGAGGTTGTCTGCTGCGCGGCATCCGAGGCCGATGGTGGAAGATGTGATGATGCCATTATTTCTTCCCGTTTAGGGCCTTAGTTTAGCCTTCGTCCTCGGAAGCAGCAGAGAGAAGCCAAGTCGGTTTGGTGTGCGATGCCATGGTCATTCGAGTTTGTTCCATCCAGCGCCCCGGAGAGAGAAGGCGCCGCGAGATGAAACGTGGCCGGGACCGGCTCCTTGGGCTGCCGACGCACACACAACCCACCGCAGGCGTAATACCGTAGGTATGCAAAGGGTCATCGGAGGTTGCCGTCTGTCAAATTTGGGTTGAAGAAACGGTTCTGCCAATGAGGGCAGAGGAGACGGGGGCCCACAAGGTCATCAGCGCATGGACTCATTACCATAATTATTAGTGCCCTGCCTGCTGCATATACAGTACGTACATACATTGCAGCTTGGAGATGCTGTGCGACGTCTGCTCAGACACTCCTGTGGACGCAGGGGAAAGGGAAAATAAAATAAAAAGGAACGACGTCACACCCTCGAGGAGAGGAGGAGCCGGTCCACGGGGGTCCACGGGAGTCCATCGGCCGGCCGGGGTTCTCGGGTCGGGGGGCTGACGCTGTCCGTTGCCGAGCGGCAGCAAGCTGAAAGGGAAGAAAGGGTGGCCGATGCAACCCAGACAGAAACGGGATGCTGCGCTGCGCTGCGCTGCACTCGAGTTGATGAGGGTGTCAGCTGCAGAGACGACTGGCATCGACAGCTCGAGAGGAGCGAGAGGAGTGAGAGGAGTGACAGGAGTGACAGGAGAGAAGAAGCTCGCCAAGGCCCTGCGAATCTGCAGGTCCGTGGAGCGGGGGGCCGGGCGCTCATGAAACACGCCTGGCTCCGCGTCTCAAGCCAATCAGCGCTTGTTGCTCCGTCTATCCGCAGGTTCAACCACCTCGCGCATTCCTCTGCAAGGCCGACGGGTTTGCATTGCCGGCCAGGGCCTGGAAAGACGAGGTCCCGTGGCGCTGATGCCGTCCCGCCACCGCCTCCAATTGCATTCCGCAGCTCTGTGGAGACGGCCTCGACGGTGCACAAAGCATTGTGAGTGCACGAGCTCGAGAAAAAAAAAGGTGCTTAGGGCGGAGTGCCAAGGTGCTGCATGTACAGTGCTGTACCGTACTTGTACATTTCGTCAGCATGCAAGGATAAGTTCCCAGGTACTTACGGATACTGTAAGTACCTTAGGTAGGTAGGTAGGTAGGTACTGTACTGTGAAAGGGAAAGGGGGGACACACAGTCTCCCCCTGAAGCGAAGCCATTCATGGCTCAGCGGCGCGGCATGTCGATGCAGACGCGAGCCGCCAAATGGCCTGGCTCCCGAAGCCTCACCCTCTCTCTCACTTGCATGGCGAGTCCGCAAAGGGCCTTTGTTCACTTCCAAGGTTGCCTGCCTACCTAGGTAGGTTGTACCTCAGATGCCTTCGGCCCCTAAATTTATCCCAGGACTTTACGGACACCGCAGAGCAGGTGAGCAGGTACAGTACCTGCGCCCTACCACCACCCAGCCAGCACTGCCACACCGCACTCACCCGCCGCCTGAGAAGGTCGCTTTAGTTCCCAGCCTGCCGCTGGCGCTCTCCCCCACCCCGTTTTCCCAGGTACTGTGCAGTACTTCCCTGGGGCACCTGCTCCACGCATTGCATGAGGTACCCTGGTTCGCGGTACTTGACCCTGCTCCCACCCACTGGCCCATCATCCGTCTCCTCCCCCTCCTCTCTCTCCCGTTCCTACTGTCTGTCCTGTCCTCTCCTCTCCCATCTGCAACCCTACCTTCAACATCGCCTTTCTCTCCTTGTCGCGCACGAGCAAGCAATCCGGCCGACCAACCGACCGATTCCGCTCCTCTGCTGCTTGTGTCGACGCTGCCAATTCTCTGGCCCTCGACGGCGCGCCCCGACGACGCACTGAACGCGCAACTACCAACGCTCCGCTGTGCCTAACCGCTCCTCGCCCGCCTCGCCCACCTCTCCCCCTTTTCTTTCTTTTTCCCTCTTCCCTTTCCTTTCTCTCGGCCTTGCACTCCGTCGTCGCCTTCTCTCTTCGGTCGCCCTTTCCAACAAGCCATCGCCATTTTTCTTCGGCTTCGTCGCTCTTTTCCGCCTTCTCTTCGCCGTCACACCCTCTTCCGTTTCGGCTGTGCCGGATCACGCTTTAGCCGCCTGCACATACTCTTTGCCGATCTGCGTGGCTCCCTCGCCATCCCGGACCGCACCGATCGACCGACCGTTTGCGCCGTGCTGCCGACTGCTCCTTTGTCCAACGCTTCGTCATCCTCTTGATTGCGCCGCCCCAGCAGGCCGACTCTCGAGACCGTCTTCCCCATGCCCCCCTACGGTTCCTTGGGCTCTCCCTCGATCAGGAAAATGGAACAGTCGCGCGGCAAAGGCCGCAAGGGTGTTCGCTTGGGCAATATCCTCGGTGATCCGTTTGCTTTGGCTACAATTTCCATCTCTCTCGTACGCTTCTCCCCCTCCCGCCAAAACCAAAACGTGGCTGCATGACACGACCGCAATCTGCACCCTTCATCCTGGCTGACTCGCGTCCCCACAGCTTGCATGGTTCATCACCTTCATCGCGTGCATCATCTCTCAAGTCCAGGCCACCGACGGCGACCGATTCCCTTCGTTTGCCTGGTGGTCTGTCGTCTACAGCCTGTTCCTCATTCTCGGCGTCTTCGTCGTCGTCGCCAGCGACTCCGTACACACCTACCATGTCGCCGTCACTGGCTACCTCGCCGGGGGCATGGTGCTGGTCACCTCCTCGGTCAACTCCCTCGTCTACTCCAAGAGCGGGGCTAGGGAAGCAGCCGCTGCGGGCTTCATCCTCCTATCCATGGTGGTGGTAAGTCCCTGCTGGCCACGGCTGCTGCGACCCAGCCACACATGCTAATCTGGACTTGGCAGATTGTCTGGATTTCCTACTTTGGCTCGACGCCTTCGTCTACGCCGCGCGCCTTCCTCGACTCCTTCGCCCTGGCCAAGGACTCAGGCCCCATGTCCAACCAGGCCTTGAACGGCTACTACGGCGGCACCGATCGCCCCGAGACCTCTAATTCGGTCCAGCCTCCCCAGATGTACACGTCTGCACAACTCAATGGCTTCGAGAACTCGTCACCCATCGCCGGACCCTCTCAAGCCAACGGCTCTCGCGGCGCCGCCATGCCCACGGGCTTTGGCAGCGGCTCTGCCCCGCCACCCCAACCTCAGCCTCAGCCGCAGCCGCTACAACAGCCAAAGCCCAGCGACACCGAGGTTGTTGCCCCGACCGACTATCCCTACCAAGCCAAGGCCATCTACAGCTACGAGGCAAACCCCGACGACGCAAACGAGATTTCCTTTGTCAAGCATGAGATCCTCGAGGTGTCGGACGTCAGCGGACGATGGTGGCAGGCACGAAAGCAAAATGGCGAGATCGGCATCGCACCCAGCAACTACCTCATTCTGTTATGAGCGGAAACGGTGGTTTGATCTGGTGACAGCGCCGCGTCTTTGCATCATGGCCCGGGGACGGACTCGTGCCACCCGGGAACCCATGGTCTTTTTGCCTCGTTCTTTCTTTTTAATTTATTAACGTCTTAGAGTCACGACTCGGGAATCTTTTCTTACTGTTGGGTTCAGGGCCATGTATTGGATGGAGTACATTTGGACGAGAAAGGGCCTCCAGAAGCGAACTGCAGGCCTAGTTTTTGTTTTTTCTTTCTTTTGGCCTCTCATGTTCTTCCGCACTATCTCGTTCTCTTGGCAAGGAGAACCACATCCTCATCTCTCACTCACCATCTGCCGTGGTTCACTTCCTTTTACTGCCATGGTCTTTCTGCTCCTCTTTTCTCTGTGGCCCTGGTATTCGGAATCACGATGGGCACTTAAGTGTGAAAAGAGACCATGTTATCTTTTGTGATGGACTGGAGAGGGCGGAAACGCGGGTCAACGGGAGGGCCCGCGAGGATCGAGAGCCTCGACTGATGAGGAACCCGATGACGCCTATATACAGTGGACACATAGCCGGTGTTCAGAATGAAGGATGAAAAAGGGCATGCTGTACAATGTGCTGTGACGTCACGACGTTACTCGGTTGTAGAAAAGGGTAGTTAGGGTAATGGCACGAGCATGGACTTGTCACAATCACGAACCTGTCGGAGCCATCAAAGCGACATGTACCCCGCGAGGAGCTTGAGCTGTCAATTTCCACACCCATCTATCGCAGGCCTCCTCCCCAGCAGAAGACCGCGGACGCTACGTCGACGGACGAGCTAAGTGGTCGGGTCCCCGTGTGAGACGTCGAGGAAAGCTGAGACAGGAGGCTGGGCGCGCGAACCCCGGCTGGCGAAGCCATGGGGCCGAGCATGCCAGTCGTAGAATTACCCCAGACTTTTCTTGCTCTGTGGAGGAGCCACGTTGGCCGATATAGACTGGGGCTTCCGAGGTGTTGAGCTTGACCATGCTCGAGACGGCATCGCGCCTCTCTCTTTTCATGCGCCGTGACCCTCTTTTTGGGAGGTTTGCACGAGGCAGAGAGAGGGGGGGGGGGGGTTTACAGGCCCCATGGCATTTAAGCCGTTGATTCTTCTCTCTTCTCTCTTGCGCAGCATCAGCCATCCAGACGCTTTCTCAACTCCCTCTCCTTCTGCAGCACCTCGAGCTCCAGTCTCTCGACACCATACCGCAAGGCCTCTTTTCTCTGCCGCACGGCTCTGGCGCGGAGCTTCTCCTCGTCCACGAGTTTGCGGCTGCCTTTGAGCTTGGCGGCGGCGGGAGCGGGTCCGTCATCTGGGCGGGCGACGAGGCGGCCCTGCTGCAGATCCGCCTTGGCCTTGAGGGTCTCGATGCGGCGGTCCTGGCGCGCAATCTGGGCGTCGGCGCGGGAAAGGAGGAGGGCGATGTAGGGGCCGATTTCGTCGCGCAGGGAGGACTCGGCGGCGGCTAGGGTGGGTTGCGGGACGAGTTCGTAGTGCTGTGCGTATGTGGTACACGTCAGCCCATCATGCATCTATTCTACAAATTGTGTCTTCTTTTCTTCTTCTCATTTCCATCAAGGCAGAAGAAAGCGGGTGGAAGAGACGCACGCGAACGGTCTTGAGGACCTTGACGAGGCGGGGAAAGTCGGAGACACCCGATTCAAGAGTCTGGACCGAGGACTCGAGGAACTGAAGAGAGGTGCGGAGGGAGGAGACGCAGTCGGCGTAAGACGCAGCAGCCGAAGAAGCGGTCGAAGGGGCCATGGCTCTGGCCGGCCGGTGGTACATCGTCGAACAAACACTTGGGAGGGCCGGAGTTGGGGGGGGCTTGTTGCCGTGGTGTTCGACGATCCAAAGGGAGAGAGCGACAACGAGAGGTAAAGCTGCTGAGGAACTATCGTGAAGGGAGGGGGTGGGGTGGTAAACAGAGTTGTGCGCAAGGGGTGGCGAGCTGTCCGGGGCTGGAGGGCGGAGCAAGAATGCGGCGTTTTCCAGAGCTGTCTCGTCTACGCTCGTGGGCCACCTTTGACGAGAGAGCGCATTCGAGAGAAGAGCGTGAGAGAAATGTCACGATGGTAACAAGCCGAGGATTGCTGGGTGTGGAGAGTGCCAAGGCGCCGGACCGGCTGCAGGCGCGTTCTGGCCCGGGAAAGAAAAGGAAAACAGGCCACACTTGCCGGCAGCCAACGACCCGTTTCGCTGGTGCACAACAGGATTAGTAAGACGACGACGACGACTTTGACGTCGGTGTTGGCAAGAAGCACAGGAGATGCATCTTCCATCCCAAGGCAATGCCGCCAACAGTCGGCATTTTACCTTGCTGGCACCTTTACCACGCCCAGAGTCGCCCGCCCGGCTGTTCTCGGGCGCACATAGATCCCGCCCGCTCGCGATGCTGGCGCACAAACGAGACTCGTCGGATGCCTCACCCGTCTCCTCTCCGTCTCCTCTCCCCCCCCCTCTCTCTCTCACTCCGTCGCCCGTCTCTAGCCCGACACCTGTTTCGTCCCGCGTCCGTCTTTCCCCAATCTCTTCTGCTTTGGTCGCTCGTGTCTCATCTTGGCTCACTGTACATGGCAAGCTTGAGCTGACCGGAATGCAGTGGCTGCATACCAGGCTCTGGGGCATGCTTCCCCAACGCTGGGCTTCCCCCCCCGCCGGCTGGTCGGCTGCCACTCGCCTCGAGGACGCCTCCCATCTGTCCTGGTCTGCCGCTGCTCTATTCTGTCAAATATCGGCCCCGGGGTCGCGGATCTGCGCGGGATTGGGGACTAGATATATACACGTATAAGCGCAGCGGACACGCATCTTGCCTCAAGATCCGCGCATCTGGCTCTTGATCTGTCACACGTCGGGGAGCATTGTCGCATCTCTGGACGGCGGCATCGTCTCTTGTTTTGCCTCGTCTCGACGCTCCGGTCGCCGGTGGTATCTGTCCCCTCTTTCTTTGTTGTTCTGCTTGCTCCATGCTCAGCTCGAGGGTCCGTCTCACCCCTGCAGCATCGTGACCGGACCGAGCGGTAGGATTAATCAGGCATGCAGACCAACATGCCAGCCTCTTGGGGAGCGTCGCAGAGCCCCCTTTGCTCCAACAAGATGAAGCCATCGTGACTGGATTGGGCCTAAAGGCGGCACCTCCGAATCGGCAAGGGAAACGGGCTGCTCCTTCGCCCGTAGCATGGGCGGCTTGCGGGTATGACGCCGCCCAAGCATGCAATTACTAAACGACCCAGCCGCCCTCCCTTGCCGACTGAGACCTGCTACTTGCCTGCGCCCATCTCCGCCAGACATGTTTCTCAACCATTTCTACATATAATGCTTCAGGCCCGCTTCTCATTTGCCTGTTTGACCTGGTCGGCCTTGCTTGGCTCCTGGAGTAGCTGCTTGAGTGGTGAATCGGGTTGACGCTACACAGCAACGGTTCCTATCCCTTTGCGGGAGCTCATCCCCTCCCACCCCTTGGCCCCCCAACTCATGGCCGTCCACCCCACCGACGCCGCGGCCTCGGGCCTGGGTGTCCATGGCCTGCGTTTTCTCAACGATGAATGGAACGATAGCATCTCCAATGGCGACTCCTTCACCCTCCGCTGGAACCAGTCCTTGGCCAAGCTTGGGTCCGGCCTGGGCGTGTTCAAAGTAACGTATCCAAAGGATGGCGTCGTCGTCTACGAGCTCATCTCGAATCTAACAGGTGTGTAGCCTGCCATGCTGCGTCAAGGCTTCGGCTCACTGACTGAGGGACGGGGCAGATACCATAGACGGCGACTCATGCCAATGGACCCCAAACAACCTGGAAAAGAAGAGCCTGTACGCAATGTGGCTCACAGCCGGCCAAGATAATATACATCCAAACTGGACACTATCTCCTCCCTGGGTTCCTAAAGAATCGGTTCGTCGGCCTCTCTTTCCCCTCCGTTCCTCTCTGCCGCGTAACCACTCAGTCGTCTAATGGGAAGCGGCTCTCAAGTCAGGAAACGGCGCCTCACCCTGGGCAGCACCCTTTATCATTCCCGTCGTCTGCTTACTCGGCGTCTACGCCGCATCCCTGACGGGCTACCTAGTCTATCGCCGCCGGAAAAAGGCCAGACGCGAACAAGAGGACGCAACACCTCACCAGGACGCGAGCCGGAACAATTCTGTCGACTCTGCCGTCACGGCTCAGACGCTGTCTGACATCGAGGGGGGACCCGAGAAACGTAGCGTCGTTGTCTTCGCCAATAGCAGCTCAGACGCCGAAGTCACTCTTCGCGGTGCTGCGGGCAGCGCCTCTATTGACCGGTCTGAGATTGAGCAAGCAATAAGCAACGCTCGGCGTGGACGCGGCGGCACGGCTGAGGGAGTCGGCACCAGCAGCTCAACCATCGACCGGTCTGAGATCGAGCGCGCAATAAGCAACGTTCGCCGTGGACGCAGCGGTACGGCTGAGGGAGGCGGTACCAGCAGCTCACCCATCGACCGGTCTGACATGGAGCGTGCACAAAGCAATGTTCTTCGCGGACGCAGTGGCACGGCTGAAAGACGCGGCCCCATCGGCGCCTCCAGCGACCGGTCTGATATCGAGCTTGCGCAAAGCAATTTTCGCCGAGGACGCATTGACACGGCTGAAAGAGGCGGTATCCGGATGGTACCCGACTCGGCCTCCGGGTCCGATGTCACAGTCCGTGGTGACGAGAGGTCCATGACCGATGCAGACCGCGCAGGAAGAAACGTACATTCGACATACGAAAGCCGAAACACCCGTCGGCCTGTAAAAACCTCTACAGAAAGAAACCTTGCATAAATGCGTTGCAACCAGTGGCTCGAGTATGCCACGGCCGATGCAGCGCAGCGACCCAGCAGCACATACAGGGCAGTCTTTGCCCACTCACTCTTGGTCCAGTCCTTTACGATTTGAGAGCTGGCAAGCGTTCAGTTGCTCTCAGAGAGGGGAGGGACGAAAACGGGAAAAATCAACCGAATAGATCAGCTTGATGAACAAAAATGCATGGCGGAAGAAGGGAAAGGCTTTGGCAGGACTTTGTGATGGAGACGGGGCTTGTAAAAAGCGGCGCTCCTTGGTATTTAGCTTTCCAAGTTGGATGATGGCGAATGATACCTGTCCTGCGACTGGCAATGCGTTTACGATACTCACGGCGGGTGAATCGAATTTCGATGCAAGCTTGATCACGAAGCATCTTTGTCAGTGGCGCCCGGCGGCATCTCAGGGGAGAACGATATCGTCCATACCCTTATTGCCCCCGTTTCAAACAAGCTATTTTACCTCGAGCTCCGATAATCGTCCCCCCTTCCCCCCAACTCCCCCCCCCCTCACCAGTGCTAAGTCCAGACTCCTCGACCCGTTCTAAGGCGCTGCGACATGCACACGATGGCGATCCATGGACCCGAGCCTGGCGAAATGACACAGATTTGGCCGGTGGACAAAGCGAGACACCATGAAGGCGATGAGGATAGGAGACTAGGGCATCTGCCACGTCTTTCTCAACCTTTATCCGCGCATGTAGTTGTCTCAATGATATCTTTTGTAGTGTATTATACTTCGTGCGGCTCATACGGCATGCCACCTCGTGGGGCGCTGTTACAGTGTCTACGACTTATGCAGCCATAGAAAATCAAGACACAAGCTGGACTGTTTCAGGCATCAAGGTCAAAGCCTCTAACGCATGATGTGTAGAGTAATCTGACGGGAGGACGACGGACGTTCTGCCGGGTAGTCGAGTATAATTCGCCTCGGCCAATAGAGCGGCAAGTCTGATTGTTGGAAGCTTCCTCCATGCGGTAACACGCGTCCAAAGTCGAGACTCTTCACCTCTGCCCAAGCGTACCCGGTGGGTATGACAGGTGGCTGGCTGGTGGTCAACGTGGTTGAGCGGCACCCAAGAATTTTGGCACATCAAACGTTCTCATTGTTAGGGGCTCACGGGCTGACTTCGGGCAGACAGGCCATGCCATGACAGCGTTTTTGTGATCTTTCGGGTTCAGCCGTTGTGGATGATGAGTCGTGGACCGATGGAGCCAAGTAACGGCGGGCCTTCGGTATGATTACTAAGACTTAGCGAGCCACGTGATCTGCCAGCCGCACCGAAACGGCCATTTGAGGTCACTGGTCGGGCTCGGCCATATGTTTCCCCAGCTGTGCTCTAAGCTCCGACCAGGCAGAGGAGCCTCTTGCGTCCACTTACCACCTACTTCGAATACGCATGCATTGTCAGCCTCGTCACTCCTCGTCGACAACCAGCCGCCCTTGACTTCGACCCCCAAGCGAGAACCGTCCGTTTAATAGACGTTTACGCAAGAGCAGCTTGCTAGAGTCTCCTTCCTTTCGTTCTCGCCCCGCTCTTTCGCCCGCATCCACAGTCTGCGTCGGCGCCATGTCTGAGGGAGCATTGAAGCCCGAGAAGGACTTCTCCAAGGAGGTCGACAAGCAGCTTCCCGAGGCCGAAGCTCTGGCCAAGGTTGGGGCGAATCGGTCCTTAATATAACCTTTGGGCTTCCTGCTGACACTTGCATCGCAGTCGAACCTCCAAGGGGCCATTGAGAAGCTCACCGCACTCGAGAAGCAGACCCGTCAGGTAAGCTCGGCTCAGAGGCGTTTGCCGACTACTTTTCTGGGCCTCTCTGACCTGCCCATAGGCTTCCGATCTAGCATCCACATCGCGCGTCCTCGTCGCCATCGTGACACTATGCAAAAATGCCGGCGACTGGAGCCTGATGAACGATCAGACGCTGGTGCTGTCCAAGAAGCACAGTCAGCTCAAGCAGGCCATCACCAAGATGGTCCAGACTGTTGTTGGCTTTCTCGATGCGACACCAGACCTCAAGGCGAAGCTCTCCGTCATCGAGACGCTGCGGACGGTCACTGAGGGCAAGATCTTTGTTGAAGTGGAGCGGGCCCGTGTGACCAAGATTCTGTCCGACATCAAGAAGACGCAGGGCGATCTCAATGCGGCCACCGAGATTCTCTGCGAGCTGCAGGTCGAGACCTTTGGGTCTATGGACCGACGAGAAAAGACCGAGTTTATCCTGGCTCAAGTCGCCCTCTGCATTGAGAGCGGAGACTGGACACAGGCCGGCATTCTCGCCCGCAAGATTAGCACCAAATATCTGGCGCGAAAGCCCAAGAAGACGGCTGAGCAGCTAGAAAAGGAAAAGAAGGACCGCGAGAAGAAGAGGGCGCGGGGAGAGGAGGTACCGGAAGAGAAGGTGGACGACATCACAGACTTGAAGCTGCGCTTCTACGAGCAGCAAATCACTCTCGCCAAGCACGACGACAAGTACCTCGATGTCTGCAAGCACTACCGGCAAGTGCTCGACACGGAGGCGGTTGAGGATGATCCCGCCAAGCTTCACCCTGTAAGCGCTATTTGGGCCCGAGGAGGATCAAGAGCGTGACTAACCGCGCGACAGACCCTCCAGCGCATCATCTACTTCGCCATTCTGGCCCCCTACGACAACGAGCAACATGACCTCCTCCACCGTATCCACCGCGACACTCGAAACTCCCAGATCCCTCTAGACGCCGAGCTTCTCCGGCTCTTCACCGTTCACGAGCTGATGCGGTGGCCCGAGATTGCGAAGAAGTTTGGCCCGCACCTGTGCAGCACCGACGTCTTCGACGCCCAATCGGGCCAATCGTCGGACGAGAAGGCTCATCAGCGGTGGGAGGACCTTCGGAAACGTGTCATTGAGCACAACGTGCGCGTGGTGGCAGAATACTACACGCGCATCCAAATGAAGCGCCTCACCGAGTTGCTCGACCTGGCCGAGGATGAGACGGAAAAGTACATCAGCGAGCTCGTCACTTCCAAGACGGTCTACGCCAAGATTGACCGGCCTGCCCGGGTTGTTAGCTTTGCCAAGCCCAGGGATGCGGATGATATCCTCAACGAATGGAGCCACAACATGAAGAGCCTGCTGGGGTTGTTGGAGAGGATCGACCACCTCATCACCAAGGAAGAAATGATGGCGCGCATCCAGCCTACCAGCACGAAGTAGACGGAAGACGGACATTGCACTCGTGGTTCGGCGCGGCTAGGCATCTATAACTGTACAGATTAGATAGTCCTCAGGTTTGGGAACATGTAATATGGATGCCGGTTTATGAAGTCTATTTGCCCGCTCTATCCTGTTATCATTTCTAGACTAATTCTCACTCCTTGGGAACTCGAGGTCGCCAAAGGTACCCTCATAACCCTGTCTTGGGCTGCGCCTCGTGTGCGTGCTGTTTGATGAAGCAAGCCAGGGGCATCACCCATGCTTTGGCGACGGGGACGTGATGTCCGCCCGGATGCACCACGACCACAGGGTCCACGCACCGGTCGATGAGCGACTGGCTCCGTCTCTCGTCGACAACGGTGTCGAGGCTCCCAATATAGTGAAGAGTGGGCGTCTTGAGCTTGGGCTCGTAGCACCACTTGAGCGCGTCGACGGGGCCGAAGAAGCCCGAGTAGGAGACAGCAAAGTCGAGCGGCCGCCCCTCGTTGGCGTCCCTCAGCGCCAGAGCCCAGCTGCCATCGGACCCCTCGGGGACGGGCCTATCCGGCTCCAAGGCGGCAGCGATGACGGCAGCCATGGCGCCGCCCTGGCTGAAGCCGCAGACGGCGTCGACGCCCCCGGCCTCGCGGATGGCGGCGGCCACGGTTGCCATGCCCTCTGCCAGGAGGCGGTACGTGCCCGTGGCCTCGTCCTTGCGGAACCAGGCCCACGTGTCGGGCTGGTAGTCGCCGTCGCCATCGTCATCACCGTCTGCCTGCTGCCCAGCCGCGGGTTGGTAGCCGGGGATGTCGCGGGGGAGAAGGCGGTTGGGGCCCGTAGGGTAGACGAGGATGGGGACGAGGGGGATGGGGGCGAGGGTTTTTGTGAGCAGTTTCTCAAGGGCGCGGGTTTTGGCGTGGAAGAGGGGACCGGATTGCGTGTAACCTAGCGTGAGGTGGTTGCGTGAGTGTGATGCCATGTACGAGGGATAAGACGAGCTTCTCGAGGTAAAAAGAACGACAGCCCAACGTCTCCTCCAAGATTTCTCGAAGCCCCCCAGAAGCAAAAACGATGTAGGAGCGCACGTACCGTGCAGCATGAGAATCTTAACCTCGGCCGGCTGCGAGGGCGCGGCCTGAGATGTCGTAGACATGGCACGATGACGAGCCGGGCACCAGGACGCGATAAGCAGTGATGACGATGAAGAGGATGCGCGAGACAGTTTGATTCCGAGGGCGGATCTGCCGACGAAGCGGTGCATCGGGCGAGGTGGTCGGATTGTGTGTCGGGGTCTTCGGCGGGTGGGTTGAGTAAGAGGCCGAGCGAGCGGCTTCGGAGGGTGAGGTGTAGCGGCCCTTCTCCACGTGTCTGCGACGACGACTTTGGAGTGCGACCACTCTTTTCGTGTGGATTCATCCGACTCGGACGCTTTGTTGTTTGCTTCTACAGCTTGTTTGTCTATCCAACTTCAATGACACTGCAGCTGGGAAGGTCAATGGCGAGGCGAGGGAAATGGGCACGTCAAGGCGCTTGATTCGGCGCCAAGTCGTCACAGAGCACCACAAGTAGTCACGACATGAACGGTCCCGCAGGTCCCGCAGCAAGCAGGCCATACGATGCACGGTGGACGGAGTCCTCGAGGCAAATCACTCCAATAGCGCCGCGACACGCTGCCCGAGCTCTATTGGATCCCCGGATGCGAATCTATGTGAACAACTCCAATCCACGCGGATCCCGCCTCGAATTGATGCGCCCGAGCTGTCCGATCATGCTTGCTGTCCGACCAAGACGTCGCTGCTTGCGCACAGTTCGCCCGTCCAGTCGCTCTAGTGTTTGTTGCCCGCCTTGGCCTGGGGGTTCCGGGGGTCGTTCTTCCACTCGTCGGCTGTGCAGGCATATCAGTCATCAAGGTCTTCTCCAAAGGATCCGGGAGAGCCGTATGGGGTGGGTTCTCGTACAAGCCATCATGGCGTTCTGGGCAGAGTTGGCGCCGTAGGCGATGATGAGGCCTTGGGTTCGGTTAGCCGCCGCGCATCATCCCTCGACACGCGCGAGGAGGGAGAGTCGCCGTCGCCGTGAGTCGATTCTTCCCGCGCAGGCAAAGTCGTCGAGTCTCGGCACCGAGGGTGCACGTACCGGCGGCAAAGAAGGGTGCCATCGGCTTCACTGTATCCATGGTTTTGTTAGCATCAAGTCCGCCAGTCCTCCTCCGGGGCCACGCCGAGCAGGGGATTGAACGCACGGAAAGGAGCCGGAAACTTTTTAAAGGGAACGACGCCGAGCCAAGACATGATGAGCGGTGTTGTTTGTGGGTTTCGCAAAGAGACTGATGGGAGTTGCTCGAGATGAAGTCTTGCCTTTCCCCCACTGTGAGCCAGATCACTCTCCCGCTGCCGAATTGAGCCTGCGGGCCGAGCAAAGTGGCAGCCTGAGGCCTCAACTGGGATTGGCCCGGGCTCGGACAAGGCTTTCTCCGCTGTGATTCAAAAGCACACGTCACGTGAGAAGCTTACCTAGGAGCTGAAGCCGAAATGACATCATGACCTCCAGCGCCGTACCTTTCCTTGCTGTGCCGTAATTGTAGCCTACCGGCCTGAGGCAGTCATTGTCAGCGAAGTACGGAGTACTTGCGACAGGGAACTTCCCGTTACGACCTCCTGAATCTTCACAGCGCCCGCTCCACCCTCAAGTCCAGCAAAACCCGCCACGGCAGCGGCTCAATCAGCGTCCATCGATTGCAAAGACGCCTCCTCCAGACCCTGAACGCTGCATAACTCCAACACTGCTGTGCCTCCGTCCGCGAAGAGTGCGGGGTGGCTGCAACGTACTGTACCCGGTGCTAGGAGCATCCAATAGCCCGTCGAGGCTGCCCTCCAATACGCCGCCTGCAACACCACGAGCTCCGCGGCCCCCGTCCTGCCCGCCTCTGCCCTGCACTGCGTGTCTCGCCGTCTGCCGCGCTCTCGGGGAAAATACCAGCTGCCTCGACTTTGCGCGTCTCTTGCCTTGCTGCGAGCCATCCAGGGACCCTCGTGCGACGGGCCAAGACTCCTCCGAGGCATCTCTCTTCCTCTTGTCGTCCTTTGTTGGGCTCGAGCAGCACCGGTCGCCGAGCCTCCAACTACCAGTACCACCACCTGACGCCATGCTGTGCCGAAGCCTCACTCGACGTGCCGCAGCGGCAGCCCCTCGTGCCGGTGCGAGGGCTCTGAGCACCACGGCCGCCCTGAGGGAGTCCAAGACGCCCTCGATGGGCGACATCAATCCCTCTCCGTCGTCGGTCCAGTCCTTCACCACAAAGCAAAAGGCATTCCGAGAGCAGCTGGCAGAGGCGCAGAGGGAGCGGGGAGCACGTGCGTTGGCCCAGAAGTCTTCTGCTTCTTCGGCCGAGAAATCGGGCCAAGGCTCATCCGAGAACGCTGCAGGACTTACCGCCCAGGCCAAGCAAAAGGAGCTTGACCGCAAGTCGGGCCCCCTCTCCAACCTCATCTACGGCACCAAGGAGGGCAGGGAGATGGAGGCCCAGATGGAGGCAAGCTTCAGCCAGGTCTTGGCCCGTGGCAAGTATGTGCACTCGATCGTCTTCCACGAGGTCAAGCCCGAAAGGGTAGACGAGTACGTCGACCTCGTCGGCCGCTGGTATCCTCAGATTGCCAACGCGCCCGAGAACAAGGTGCACCTGGTCGGTAGCTGGCGCACCGAAATTGGTGACTGCGACACCTTTGGTACGACCCCCCTCCATCCACGAACCCACCCACGCCTCGAGGCTAACCGAACCGCCAGTGCACATCTGGGAGTACCAAAAGTACGCGGGCTACCACGAGTCTAGGTACTCCATCACCCATCACCCCGAGTTCTCCGCTTTGGACAACAAACTCAAGGGCATGATCAAGTCCAAGAGCATCTCGCTGATGCAGGAGTTCTCCTTCTGGCCCACGACACCCCCACGCCAACTGGGAGGTGTCTTCGAGCTGCGGTCGTACACGCTGCACCCCGGCAATCTGTTGGAGTGGGAGACGCACTGGCGGCGTGGCCTCAAGGCGCGACGCGAGGTGATGGAGGGGGTAGGTGCGTGGTTTGTTCAAATAGGAGAGTTGAACACGGTCCACCACCTCTGGCAGTTTGCCAACCTCGAGGAGCGGAGGGAGCGCCGGGAGAAGAGCTGGTCGGTCGAGGGCTGGAGCGACACGGTTCACAAGACGGTGCCTCTGATTCAGACCATGAATTCGAGGATCTTGATTCCCATGCCATGGTCTCCAGTGGCCTAAAGAGACGGCACAGGGGCCCTGGCTCAATGGAATATCGAGGTAGCGGGAAATCGAGTCGCTCAGGCTCGCGCGCAATGATTAGCACAGAGTCTGATGTCCAAACAAGACATGGGGTTGAAGCCGGGGGCCTGAGACTGGAGGCCACTCCGCGAGGCAAAGACCGGGGCTTGGGAGAAGCGCACGCTTATGTTCATTTCATTTGTACCGGCTCCTGGGCGGACACAAGTAAGCGCGAGGAGAATATCTGGCAAAGGTCATGTTGACTGCAAGAAGATGATAATTTACACACACCATTGGCAGCCTTGGTATTATACACTCTACTTTGAAATTGACGCTCATGGTCCCGACTTGACTCCAGGGTATCCAAATCAGAAACACGGACAGGTCTCGATGGCGTTGCCCACCGTCTTCACTCGTCGAGCCCGGCTGCGCTCATGACGACAGCCAGATTGCTCCTCATCTGACTGAGCATGTGGCTCAGGTATCCGAGCTTGGAGTGCAGAGAGATGAGGCTCGGGTCGGCGCTCTCGATGCGCACCTTTTCCCGCACGTACACCTCTTCCACGCCCTTTGTACCGGTAGAGGCCGGCGAAGAGGCCGGGTCGGGCGTATTTCTGGCGGCGCCTCTCTTTGGTTCGGCGCTGCCGTCACCCGAGGGTCTGTATCGGAAGACGACGTCCGACTCGTCGTGCTCGAGGCGGCGGACGGTGCCGATGGCGAGGCCCAGCTTGGTGCCGAAGTGGACGGGGGCGTCGACGGGCTCGAGGGCGCGCAGCGACAGGACGATGCTGCTCTCCTGCAAGGCAAAGTGGACGCTGATGGTGGGGGGCAGGGGCGGGGTGAAGTGGTGGGGAGGACAGGAGCTCGTCTGCCAGCTGGGGTCGGGCTCGTTGAGCGGCGGGCCCTTGAGCAGGGCGATGGACTCGGCAAGAGAATCGGAGATGAGGGTGAGGGTGGAGGCGAGCGAGGGCGCGTCGTGGGGGGTTTCGCGGGCGAGGTCGAGAGCGAGGAGGTCGATGGCCTGGGTGAGGTTTGTGTGGAGGGCGTCGAGAGCGTGGATGTGGATGTGAGACGAGGGCGAGAGGGCAATGGACTGGGGGGGTAGGGTGCGGAACTGGAGATTGAGAGACTGGTCGAGCGTCAGCCAGCCTGGACAACGGCGCATGGAGAGAAGGGGGGAGGGGGGGACGCACGCCCTTGACGATGCGGCTGCCGACGCGGGTGATGGTGCCTTTGACCCTCTCGTTGCGCGGGGTGCTCATGACGAGGGTGCTGCCGGGGTCGATGGGCGCGAGGAGGGCGTAGCAGTCGTCGAGGCCATGCTTGAGCTCGCGGCAGGCGTCGATGGTTTCCCTCGTGATCCAGTCGACCTCTCGTTGCTGAAGACGCGTCAGCCCATGGGTATCGAGTCGCGGCGCCTGCGGTTGCCTTGGCGTACCAGGGCCTCGGCCACCTTGACCCTGCGCTCCTCGGGCGAGACGGGAGGCCAGATGGCGATGGACATGGCGGGCTATAACGGGCTCGCGGCCGTGGTCGCGGCCGTGGCCGGAGGAAAATGCCTATGCACTTGGAAGCTTGGCTCCGGCCAATCGTGCGGCGGCGGGTGAGTGCGGAAGACGACTGAAAAGTTGGCTGGTGTGGCTGGTTAAGGCGCAGCACCGATACTGCAAATTTGTATGCGCATACTGTACTCCGTACGGAGGAGCGTTTTAGTAGTATTTGCTGACGCTAGAATAACCCCTATAAAGAAATAGGAGAACACCGCATATGAATTTGTATTATATTCTCCTGTTATACACACCTCCTCTTGGAGACCTTGACCCCAGGGCAACAGGCGGCGGGCGACCAGTTTGACCAATCAGCCAAGGACGCCAAAAATCTGCTGGACCCTCAGCAGGGGGGTATGCTGACCAAGATTGGCAAGCTCCTTTCTGGTGACAAGGGTGTCGATGATGACCAGACCACCACTCCCCAGGGTCCCAACACTACAGACACAGCTGTCACGCGCCTAAGGACCTAAATTGCAACATCCTGTACCAGACTTAGGGCGGCAATGCATTGAGAGTAGCTGTCTCTACAGTTGTCTGGTATAAAAGGTGTCGGCTTTGGCCTACGGAGGCCGATAGGGGACATTGTTGTAAAACTCTATGGCGCCGCTATTAAGTGAAAAGAGTTAGCCGACGGGCCTCGTCCAATCGTCGAGTAGGTGAATGATAAAGTAGTTTCGAGAGCGGGTGTATCGTGCATGACTCCCTTGTGGCCCTTTTACCTAGCAGTAGGTGATGCCTACCTCTCTCTGATGGCAATTTTGGAACTCCACTATACCATCAAGATCGCTACACATTGCCGTTAATCGAAGAGACCCTGCGGTCGCTATCAAAAGCCAAGTGGCCAACGAAATTAGATATCATCGCAGCCTTTCATAAGGTCCTCGTCAAGAAGAGGGATAAGTAGAAGATAGACTTCTACACACGGTATAGACTAGAGAAGTAGCTCGTAACGCCGCTTAGATTAACGGGCGCGCCCGCAACCTTGTAGCGCTACATCAACCACATGCTACGGGAATTCCTAGACGAGATTTGCTCTGCCCACATTAACGACATCTTTGATATATTCCAGCGGCTTGCTTGCCGACCATCGGAAGAAGGTAAGATAAGACCTTGCGCAACTAAAAGATATATACCCGTAGGTCGATGTCGACAAATGCGACTTCAAAGCAAAGAGCTTGAAGTATCTTAGCTTTAACGTCGATGCTAAGAAGGGCATCCACGTAACATAGTAATTCGTAGAAAAACGCGGTATGTCTCATTCAGGTCGAAACTAACTCGTGAGAAGCATTGCGACATCGAAGGCCTTTCCGGAAGCATTCCAAGCACACGTCGAAATCACCACCATCGCAGCTTTCGCAATAATAGTGAACAGAGATGCGTCGAATGCTCCATGTATTCGCATGGGCATCCCATGCTAAGCTGCGCGCCCCGGGGGATTGTCGTTGTTAATAAGAGAAATATTCAAGGATTTAGCGCGTCGATGAAGAACCTGTGTAAGTTCTGGTTGGCCGTGCTTTGCCTGCCTCGCATACCACATCAACGAACGATCAAATCTATATTTAGCATTCAAGCACAAATCTCGGGCAGCAACAAGCAGCTCTACTACCTTGACCTGCCAATTTCTCATCGCCACGAAAAGAGCTGTTGAACCATATTAATCCTTAGCATCTAAAGGGAAGAGGTAACAATCTTTTTTTTTTATATTATTACTCGCATGCAGCCTCTGGGGCCATGGCAAGGCTAATAGGGGCCTAGGCCCCTATTAGCAGTCCTAGCTAGCTATAGAGCCCGGGGGCTTATAACTAATTAGGGAAAGGGTAGCTATAAAGGTAAAGATAAAGGAAAGGTTAGTCTAGTTCCTCCCGCGCGGTATTTTCCCCTCCTAAGGGCCCTAGGGCCCCTAGGTTACTCCTTCTTAAGCTACTTAGCCGTTCCTATCTCTATTTTAGCTAAGAAGGTTAGAAGGGCTTCCCTTCCTTCCTTAGAGCTATAGAGAAAAGGTAAGCTAAGGGCCTCCTTTTATCTCTTAAAGGCCTAATAAAGGACCTCTCTTTCCCTCCTATAGTTCGGGTACCTTAGGATAAGGTGCCTAGCTATATACCTTCCTTAGCCGTAGTAGTAGTTATCTTAGTTTACTTTATTAGTCCTTTTTAGGAAGGAAAATAAAAAGCTAGCCTTAAAGAAGTGCTAGTAAAAGGCTAAAAGGGTCGGCCTAGGCCTCCTTATATAGTCCTTTTCTAGGCTAAAGGCTAGGCGGGGGGTCTTTTAAATAGATATATAGTATTTACTTAGGCCCTTAGCCTTAGAGCCTTTAGCTACCTTAATAGCCTAAAGGCCCCTTTAATAGTCCTTAGTAGCTTATTAGACCTTTCTTTATAAGTAGCTAATATAGACTAAAGGGGTAATATAAGAAGGGCGCTTTAAGGACTAGCCCTACGCTCCCTATATTAGCTATAGTAATAGATATATTATAGCTCCCGCTAAGGAAAAAGATATTAGATAGTCCGGACCTCTAAGGCGCTATATATAAGAGCAGCGCTTATAGTAGTCCTCCTTAATATAAACTATTCCTTTTATAACCTTTATATCTAACCCTTAGTATACTAAGGGGTCCCTTAAGTAAGGGCCCCTAAGCTTTTCTTAGCTAGCTTATTACTAAAGATCCCTAGGTAGCTAGGGCACTAATATAGCTATATATTATAAAAGGCTTCTAAGCTAAATAGGAGCCTTTTAATATATATAGCTAGGTCTAAGAAACCTATAACCTTCTTTATAGCGGCTTAGCTATCTATAAAGATATAGGCCTCTATAATAAGGTTAAGGGGGCTAAGCTTTAAGGGCTAAGGCCTCCTAGCTAAGTCTTTTAAGACCCTTAGCATTATAAATAGCTCTATATTAGCTACTTTAATTAAGGGCCCTAAGTTTTTATAGTATACTTTAATAAGTATATTTTCTAAGCCTATTTTATAGAAAGAGTAAGCGTTTATAAGGGTATTTAGCCTTAGTATAGGTCTAGATATTAGCCTAGACCTTAGCTAATAGCGTTATAGGGTAAGGTAGGTAATATATATAAACGTAGATTAAGTAGTAGTAGGCGCGGCGTATATTTAGATCCTATATAGCTTACTATTATAATATAATAAAAAGCACCTATAGTATATCCCTCTACTTACCCTATAATAATATAAGCTATTAATATATTAGACTTAATATTAAAACCTTAGTAGTACTAGCTAAGGTAGTAGTAGTAGTAGTAGCTATTATAAGAAAAATCCTAGTACTAATAGCTATAGTAATAAGTAAAAGAGCTATATTAGTAATACCTATAAAAAGATACTTAGTAGTAATAGGACGAATAAGTATAATTTATAAAGCTATTTTACTAGATATTATAAGACCTAAACTAACGAGCGACCTTATACTAAATCCTTAATACCCTTTTAACGCTAGCTTTAATAGTTACGCCCCTTACTACTAAGAAGTTAAAGCGCGAAGCGACCCTTAGTAGATAAAAGCGGCTACTTTAGCCTACCTAAGATAGTAAGCTAGAGACCTTTTACTTTTTCCTTAACTACTTAATAGCGAAATACTATATTAATAAGAAATAAGGCCTTAATAGCTATAAAGAGATAGCTTAGTTCTCGCTCCTTTATACGCTATTAAAGCTTTAGATATAGTAAGTAGTAAGCTTCTATAAGTTAGGTAGGCTTAAGGGAATAAAAGACCCTTAAGTATTCTTTAACTACTTAGTCTATACCTTTAGTAATATATAAGAGTAGGAGAAGGTATAATATAAGCTATAGACTCTTACTTAGTAAGAGGGGTAGTCCCTTAAATAGTTCTTACTAGAATTTAAAGAGACCTTAACCTACGCGGCGGGTAATACCGCTTAAAAGGACGGCGCTAAGCTTACCTAGCTATAAAACTTAATCTCCTTAGCGCTTTAAGAGCTACTTATCTTTATTATAATACCCTCTACTTATAAGGGCTATATAGACCGCCTTATAAAGGTAGCCTAAGGATATAAGTAAACGCTATACTTTTAAAAGCTATATAAGCGCTTAGCCTTAAGCGGGACTAATAAGCTAGATAGTTCCTCTTTACTTAGCTTATCTATACCTAGGCCCGCTCTTAAATTAGCGGTCGGTATAGATAGCGACGTCTAGATAGCGGCTATACGCCCTAGGGGGCGCGGGAATAATAAGGCCCTAGCCGATCTACTAGCGGCATAGTTTAGTAAGACGGCTAAGTAAGTACTCTATAAGGGAATTAGTAAATAATATAAAAAGGGCCGCTATATATATTATAGCGTAAGTATATATATAGTTAGGTTATGCCCCTTCCTTTTAATAAAGAGGCTATTAAAGATATAGGTTACCTATACTTTATTAAAATCTAACGATAAGGGAGATAAGGGAACCTTCGCTATATATAAGGTAGAGGGAAAAGCTTAGCTTTAGTATAAAGGCGGGTCCTAGAGCTTAGTAAGCTAATACTAGCTAAAGAGGACTTAATAAAGTATATTAAAAAAGAACCTACTTTAATATTAGTTATTATTAACTAAACTTACTTTATTTTTACTTTTATAGATAAGGGCTATTAGTATTACGCTATAATTAATAAAGTAAAAGCCCTTAAGCTATACTTACTAATAAAGAAGATTTACCTTAAGCGTATAAAGGGCGCCTTAGCTATAATAAAAGGTATAGTTATTAAAGGTATCGCTTAGGTAGCTTTAAAGGTTAACGGCCTCTTATAGCTATTAGTAGTATATATAGTCCCTTAGCTTAAGTTTCCCTTAATTCTTAGGAAGCTATAGTTAATATATATAAAGTTATATTTAGTACTATATAAAGGGAGCTTATAGTTTAGCCTTATATTATCGCGAAGCATAGCTTAATTTCGTAATTCTTAGAGATATCCCTTAGTAAGAGGCACCTAAGAAGCTAAAAAC